TCGGGGGATTTTCAAAGAATCCAAGCGACTGCCAGAACATTCTTCTTTTATAAACAGACAGTGTTCTATTTCCTCGAGGATAATTATAAACACACCTGCTCCGACTGGGAATCTTCCCGAGCCAGGGCCGCTCCCAGCCGGAGCCCCACGCCTGTCTCAGCGAGCACACGTGTCACGGACTGGTCAGGAGCGAGGTGGGGCCCGCAGACCCCTGCCGGGAGGCCCCTCTCCTGCAAGGCTCGAACCACCCAGGGCAGAGCCGGGACCTGAGGGGAACCACCGCCTGGCAGGCATGTGCCTGCCAGACAGCAGGGCAGATGCCGGCAGGAAGGGCAGAGGGACACCCCCCACCGAGTGCCTCCCCGCCCCTCACCGCCTGCGGGCACGTCCCACCCCCACCCCCAGGAGGGGCAGGCTAGACCCGCTCCGGGATGGCTGTGGGAGGCCCAGGGCCGCACAGCAGGTACAGCAGGTGCCCTGAGCGCCCTGGAGTGGCCACTGTCCAGCTGTGAGCCAAGTCCAGCCACGCAACCTCTAAGCTCCTTCCTGAAAGACCCGGACCATTTCTAACCACCAGGCAGACTCAGTGTCAAGGCCCTGGTGGGTCTATCTGCATCACCACACAATTCTGCGATCTGGGGGTAGATATTGACCTGGCCGATAGAGGGGACATCGGAGTAATGCCACCTCCAGCTCCTGCAAATAAGGGACTGCTTAGCCTACCAGAAGAGTGAGCAGGTGAAGCAGACCAGACAGGTGCTTTTGAAGTAAAAAAAAAAATTTTTTCCAACTTGCCAAGCAATTCAACTCCCTCCGTGATGTGTATTTATTCCCCAAATTCTTCCCAGGACCACTAGCTAAGCACGTATCTCTCTTAAAGAAGGGGGAAGAAGAGTTTAAAACTTCACAAGACAGACGACGTCTGAGGGTCCCCAAATCCCACACAAAACACCGCCCTGGGTCTCCAGGGTGATTCTGGGCAAGCGACGCCAACCTGACCCTTAAGCACAGACAGCATCGGAGACGAGGCCACCGCCCGGTCTCTAGATGCTGTCCCTCGAAGAGAGATGGCAGCACGGCACATCCCATCCTGCTGCGGCTGGGGTCAGACCGCCACCCTCAGCCCTGCCCCATGTGTGGACCAGGGGAGAGCGGGCTCCCCACTGCCCACACCGCACCAGTGCAGCTACTTCTTTTTGCATCTGACCTTTCTTTAAAGCATCAACACTGAGTCTCAGCGACAGGTGAACAGCCAGAGTCCATGAGAAATTCAGGGGAGAGTCTAGACTCCCCCGACTGAAGCGTCACAGCCGGTGAGAAGACCCTTATCTAGACTGGATGGGCAACCAAGGACAGAGGCAGACACACCCACGGGAGATGCTGACACAGACACAGCGGGCGGACTCACTCCCGGGGGCACACTACACCAGAGGGCACGACAGAGCACAGCGCTGACGGGGACAGGGCCACGGAAACAGGACCACGGGACACTTAGAAAAAGTGAAATTAGAACCTCAGCATTATCCAATTCATCAATGGAAATCAGCTGGAAGAGAAAAAAGGGGGAGAGAGAAGGAGGAGAGGTTAGGAGAGGAAATACAAGCCAGCTCAGCGATAGAGACCTCGTAAAGGACCCCGCGTGGTAGACGGGACTTGAGGCAGGGCCCCTGGGGAGGAAGGGCATTCTGGACACGACCCCCCACCCCCAGGATAGCTGCTCTGGCACATCCTCCGCCACTTCTGCTCCCACGCCAGGTACCAACCTCACAAGGGACATGACCCAGGGCCCCAGACCGTGCCTGTATCACCTCCCATGCACCTACCACCTGAACCCACTGTGACGGCCCCCAGCAGGGAGGCAGGTTCTTGCAGAAGAGAACAGGGCAGAGGGACTCGGGGGCTACGGCTCATCTGGAAAGAACATTCTCTAGACTCATTCACCCTTCATGGAGGCCTGAAGTCTAAAGGCCCCGTGGGTTAATCAGAGTTTCAGGCTCAGCAGGTGGTAAGCCCCACCGTCCCCAGCCCAGAGGCCCCAACTCCTGGCACTGCTGATGACCAAAGAAGACATCGTCTCCTAAGGTGGCGGTGCCAACGCGACGACACCACTAGCAGCCTGGAGTCCCAAAAAAAGAAAAAACAAGAGCATCGACCACGCGGCACCCTTGGGCAGAGCAGACGGACGGCCCTCGGCGAGCTCTCATTATACGTCATTAATATTCAGTCCGCTTGGCAGAGCCGGCCCTGGGAACACCGACGGCTGGGAGCTTGGGCACCATCCTTGCCCAGAGGAGAGGGCGCTGGTGATAGCCACCTGGCCATTCCTGGGGGGCACTCGGGCACCCCCGAGCCACTGCCTCTCTCCTGGAAGACAGCTGCTGCCGTTCAGGAAGGAGAGGGCTTAGGCAGGTCCTGAGCTCGCCCTTCCCATCCACTCTCGGCCCCTGAATTCCTTTCCAAAGCTCTTTGATGATGTAAGTCAACAGCAGCTCAGTAACCCCCAGGGGCCGCACAGCAGCCTCACCCTAACTCCACTGTCCCCAGGAGGGCCGGGGGCCCATGCTGTCCCTGGGACAGCTTTGGCCACGCTTTCTAGCCTGCGGCAGGGAGGCCATCTCTGCCACAGGGATGGGCCGCCGGGACCTTGGCACGCGGTGGCTGTCGGTCCTGGAGGTCCCCGCTCTGAGTGGGCCCTCACAGGGAGCACCTGACCGCGGCTACTCTGGGAGAGGGTCTTCAGTACGCGCCACTCCACAGAGGATGTGCACGGGGCCCTCTGCACTCTGGGGACAACCGCTGACAAGTCTTCCACTTCCTAAGCGGTCACGACTACGTTCCGCTGACCCTCGCCCTCGGCCAGCCCCTCCCTTGCCGTCAGATGTGACTGGGTTGTAGCCGGGACCCTGGGCATCACGGCAGCGCCCCCCGCCGGCAGAGGCAGAGGCGCCCTGGACCCCGGGGAGGGGTGCACCCCAGCATGGGCTCTGCATCAACAAAGCTGCTGGCTGGCCTGGGAAGGCGAGTTCCGCGGCTCTCGCTCCTCTCAGCCACGAATGCACTGGCCTGCCTGCCCGTCAAGGGGTCTTTAGTCAAAGTGACCGCCAGGAACGTGGAAAGCACTTTCAAAAAGCCTCAGTGAAACTGGACAAAACCGTCGCCAAGGACCTGAGGAGCAGAAAGAGCGCTCAGTGCCAGCCCTTTCTGTACGTCGAGTCCACGGCCGCGGGTCCTGGAGGAGCCGCACAAGGGATTCCAGAGAAAACGTCCTCTGGGGGCCGCGGGGCCTCCCAGGCCTGCCTGGTGGGCGCTCGCCTTCACCAAGGGAGCACAGGCACGCCCGGGCGGAGGGCGGCCACCCTCCCCCAGCCTCGCTCTGCTTGGCTGTGACGGGGACTCTGGCCTCAGCAGCCACCCATTCTCTGTCCTCAAGCCCAGGCCTTAGCAAGCTCGTGGGAGGTTCCACGCCCAGTTCCGGGCGTCCAGGGCCTGCATGTGACCGGCCACCAGGCTCGTCAGAGGGGGGCAGGGTATGGGGTCCGGTCTTCTCCTGCCCAAGACCCGATGGCTCTCAGCAAGCCACGGGGACTCAACAGAGGCCTGCGGCTTCCACTTCGCATGTTATAAAAAGAAAGCTGAAGAGAAATGAAAGTATAATCACCACTTGGAACACTCACTGGGGTAGACACTCCAAGTTGACTTTAAATACTGCCACAGAAAGGCACAGACAACGCTCCAGAAGCGAAAACTGTGCTCTCTGCATTTTAAAATCAAGTTTTATGTCCCAAAGGTGCAAGTATGTTCACACCTGGTTAAGAGCCTTTGGAGACGTTCACCTGACCACGGAGACAGGCTGGCTGTCACCAGGACACTCGAGGGGCACTTCTCCAAGCTCTCCTCACGAAAAATAAAGTGTTGCGGAAGAGGCTGTCACCATAGTCTGCCTGGCACTGCCCTTCCTGTGTCTCCTCTTGTGCTTTCCTGGGAGGGGACCAGGGCAGGTGTGTGTGGACAGGCCAGCCCACCCGCCGGCCTCCCTGGACCACGACATAGGACTCTTCTGGCAGCTCCCCCCCCCCAGTTTTCTACTGAGTCACAGGTACAAATTCCCGCAGCGGCCGCGTCTGCCCGCTATACAAGTGTGGGGGAACACTTAAAAGCCCTGGGCTGGGGACAGTGGGGGGACGTCCACTGCATACTCCTGCTCCGTTCTCCACACACAAACACCCCTGCCTGCCGCGGCTCCGATGCTCGCACGGGACATTGTCTGCCGAGAAAGTCCCGCGTTGCCTGCGAGAGCGCAGCCGCCCCACCCGCCCCAGCCAGGAGAGCGGTGGACCAGCCCTCGAGGCTTTTCCAGAGGTAAGGGGGGCGCCGAGGGACCTGGTGGGCAGCGAGACCCATGAACGTGCTGCGCCACATGAAATGCGGGCTGAGTAAGTCGGGCCTGTGATGCTTTGCTGGAGACACCAGGGGGGCGATGGGTGGTTTTTGTCCAACTCAGACCAAACTGGTGGAGGGGGGGTACCCAGCACCCCAGCCCAGCACACACATAACGAGTCCCACGCCCAGGACCACCCACGCCAGTACCTCAAGTAGGAATGTCCGCCTCCTCCACTCCAGGTAGGGCTGGAGGGCATCTCCTAATAACCGGAGGCCTGTGCAACCTCTCGCCAGAAACGAGCAGCAAAGCCTGCAGGCACGCTGAGCTGGACCCCGTCCAGGAAGGCACAGACACAGGCGTCTGCGTCCTCGTCGGGAATTCAAGCAGACGGGAAATCGCGTCATCCCATCTCTCCAACCACAGACCACGCGGCAAGCCGCCTGGGAAAGCCAACTGTGCGCGCTGGACTTCACGGGGGAGCATGTGTCTGTGCTATCTTCAGGAGGAACGGAGCGTCCAAACCAGCCAACCCTGGTCAGGACGCCTGGACTAAGGTGGTTTCTGAACCCATCCTCTGACCGAAGAGAGATGCGGTCTGACCTGAAGCCAGGTGTGATACCTTTTCTCCGTAGCCTCTGTCCTTGGTCATCATCTCCCGGAGGGTCTGGAGGACCTTGATGCAGAGCTTCTCCTCGTTCTCCTCCAGCAGCTGTTTGGTGTGCTTGATTAACCTTGGGGGGAGGGGACAGGGTTACAGCAGGGCGGCTGCACGTGGACGGCCTGCCCCACCAGCAGCACGGCCACGGCCACGCATGGCTCGAACAGGCATCACTCATCCAGGGCTCGGGCACCACAGTCAGGGCTCAGCACGGCTCGACAGCGACACCTGCTGGCCCACGGAGGGGTGGCCGGGAGGGGACAGGCAGAGGCCCCCCAGCTGTCCCTTATACAGCGTGGCCAATCGACCACCAAGCACAGCAGCGACCCGGCTCAAGTGCGCCGGCGTGGAAAAGCCTCATGAGGACGCTGCTGCGAGCACACGCTGTTCCCTTATCCCCAGGCCTGCCCTGGACTAAGGTGGTTTCTGGACCCACCCAGGAAGGACTGAGGTTGGGCAGAGCCCATGAGTGAAAGCGCCCACAGCCTCAGTGGGGAGAAGCCAACAGAGACTCGAGGTTCCTTTGGATCCCACCCCATGAAGGCCGACAGGAGACCAGGGGGGCTGGAGATCACGCCCTTCCTAGCCTCCTGGCTCCTGGGGGCGCTCCCCACACCCCCCGAGCGGGCCATGAGAAATGGCTGCAGCCAGGAGACTCCCAGCAGCATCAGCAGCTGGCGTCATCCACGCTGGCTCTGGGGAGGTCGCTGGGGTTGCACAGGCCATATCGCACCACCGGGGTCCCACCAGGCCCACTTCGGGACGAGGCTTTGCCCTGGCGCCCAGAGCCTGCGCTGGCCGGAGGGGGCGCCGCTTACTTGCAAATGAAGCCCCCGCTCTCGCACTTCCTCCGGGCGTCCGTGTTCTCAGGGAAGAGCAGCTCAGGCCGGTGGAGCACGTCCACCAGCACGGACAGCTCGGCCTGCACCAGTGGCCGCAGACGGTCCTCCAGGGCCGACACGATGTCCTGGAACGGAGGACCACAGTGAGCTGGGGCCGGGGTGCCCACGGGGCAGCGTCCTCGTGCCGTGAGCACACTGGCGGCCTCCCTGGGGGCAGGCCGGACACACCAACCTCCAAGGCAGAAAACAAACCCAAACCAGGCAGCTTCCCCACCTGCCCCATTAGGCCTCTCAAGGATGAGTCCAAAATGTTAAAACAAAACACAAAAATCACACTCAATGCAGAGAAAGCCTACAGCGTGAGTGTGGTAAGTGGTGGGAGACCAGCAGGGCCACGGGACAGACGCCCATGGATGCCGCCCACGACCTGCGGCGGGGGCAGGGACAGCGCCTGGGGTCTTCTCCAGGGGATGGGGACGGGCAGCCCTGCGCTTCCGGTTAGCAGTATGTGTGAGTGCTGTCAAGCTGTTCCCGAGAAGCCGTCACCCATGCAGTAAACACAGCACAAAAACGAGGGCTCAGCCCACGCATGTCCACATGCTACAGTGTACCAGACAGCACAAGGGTCCTTAGACGCCACATACCCGGCTGTGGGAGAGCAGAGAGAAGGTGAGGAGTGGCAGCCCCGGCACAGCACCCAGACACGCCACCCGGGGGCAGAGGGGATGTGCGCGCCCTAAGGTGCTGTCATCTGCGTGTGGCAGGGCCCTGGACCTGCCTGGAGCCGGCCAAGATGCGCAGGACACGGCACTGGGAAGTGGAGGGGCCCCAGCCACGGCAGTGGTATGGAAAAGGCCCCTGCACATACCTCAGCAGGGACCCACATGGCGCAGGCTCTGGCCAGGGAAGCCCTGGTCCAACCTCATACCCAGAAGTTAAAGCTAAAACCCAGGATAGTCTTTGATTGTCTTCAGCCAAATCCAGGCGGCGCCTGTATTCACGCAGCGCTACCGAGGACGCATAAAGAAAGCACCAGTGGATCAAATGACCTCTTTGGGGGGCAACGTTCCCACGAGACTGTGAGATGATGCCTTGCAACATCCCTTGATTCAAACCAATCTCACCACATAGTTAGAGAGGGTCAGTTTTGTAAACGACCTCCTTGGGGACCCCAAACACCCACATCGCCCATCAGCAGTCACCCTTCCTAACTCGGGCAGCACTTTGTCCACAGGACCCTGTCCCAGGAGCGCGGGCTCCAATAGCCCAAGAAGTCCCCCAGGAGGGGGACTCCTGCACCTTTGCGAGGTCGGCCAGACTTCAGGCTGCAGTTGATGTGCATGGTATTGCGAGGTGCGTGCCTTTAGGGGCCAGGGCGGGCCAGAAGGATGGAGACGCAATGGGGAGGGTGTCCACATGGGATGAATCACAGAAGCGGTCAGTCCGCAAGGGGCTCCTGTGACATCACGACAGCTTTGCTGCCACATCCCGTCACAACAGAGACTGACAACAAATGGCGATACGAGGGTCCCCTCAGCCAACAGCCAAGACTTTGGAACGAGCGCCGTGCAGACGTCAGTGTTCTACTGTCTTCCCCGACAACGCAGGTGAGACGTCTGAGAACCGAGACACTGGGCGTCTGTCGCTGGCCTAGAAGGCTGTGGTTCCCAGCTGAGTGGATGGTACCTGGCCCTTCTGCAAAGCAGAGAAGGGCCAGGACGCATTCCGTGGGGAATGGTCTTTGCTCAAGATGTGGCTCAGAGGCCCCTCACGGCGTAACCTAAAAGGGGAGGCTCCGTGTTCCCTGCCCCAGCTAACTGGGGGTGGAGCTGAGCAACGGGGGGGGGGGGGGGAGGGAAGGGCTTGGCAAGGGGACTTGGGGAGAGCCCTGGAGGAGGTACCTGGAGCAGAGACAGGTGAAGCAGCACCAACCTGCCTCTCAGCCGTGGACCTGCCCAGGGACTGGGGACGTGGAACGAGACTCGGGGGCTTGAGACAAGTGGAGAGGCTTGGAAGGGACGAGATGTGAAACCCGCCGGGGGGCTAACGATGGTCTTGATTTGTTCTCTGGCTTTGCTCCTTCCATCCCAGGCATGCCTGGCCCTCCTGCCCCTCCCCTATGGGTCCCCACCAGAAGGTCCTCAGGCCTGGACAAGCTTTCGCGCCTTGGCGGCCCGGCTCTAGGCCAAGCCCGCACAGCCAGACGGTGGCCCACAGGGGCTCCCTGGGCCCGGTGGGTGTTACCTGCAGCCGCTCGATGATGTTCCGGTAGTCCCTGGAGGCCGCCAGCACAGAGTCCCTGCGGGCCGCGTTCCGGGCCGTCAGCCGCCAGTTCATAGCTGTCTTCTGCACGATGTTGTGGGACTTCAGGAAGAGGTTGTTGACCTGGCTGTCCAGGTCCACGGGGATGGCGATGGCCCGGCTCTTGGCTGTGCAGAAAGGGGACTCGTGAGCCTGGAGCTCTCAGGAGGGAGCCCCAGAGATAGACTGAACCTCTCTTGCCACCGCACCCAGAGTCTGTGTACACGGCACAGAGGGTGAAGACTGAGGGGTTCCACTCCACGGTCCCTTGGGGGCGGCAGCTCTATGGGGTGTTAAGACACCCCAGGATCACAGTTAGGGCAGCGCCCACCTCAGTGGGTCTCCCCCAGGAACAGCGTTTCAGGGTCTCAGAAGCGCTCACACAAGTTAAGAATCACCAAGCCATGGAACTCATCCAGCCGGTGAACGCTTCTTCCAAACTTTCTCAAGTTTGGGGTTCCTTACAACCAAACTTACAAAATGCTGACGTAGGCCCAACCTAAGCCATTCTTTCCACACAGGTGATTCTTCTCCCTCTAGAAAATTGGCCCGCTTCGCTGGACACTGTGCCGGACACCCTGGCTCAGCTCAGCGAGTTGAGAGCGCGTGGGAGGGGGCAGCCCAGGGGGCGTGAGGCTTTCCATGGAGGCCCCTCCAGGTCATGGAGTCGAAGCTCAGGGCTGCACACGCCCCCAGGGCCGCTGAGGTGGCATCTCTGAGCACGGAGCCAGTCAGGAGGCCAATCCCACCAGCAACTCCAGGGAACACAGGGCAGGCCAGGATTGGGCGGGGCGGGGCTCAGGCCTGGCCCTGGACAGCCGCTCAGGACGTGGTCCTGGCCCACTCTCAGGAGGCTCATCTTCCACCACAAGACCGCCTCCAAGTTCCCCAGCGGCCTACCCTCCCTGGGAGAGCACAGGCGCCGCGCCCACCCTGACCAATACCCTGTGCATGGGTGCAGGTGCTGGACGGGGCGGGGACCCCCGCGGTCCACGCCGGGTGGCAGGCTCTGGGGCCCAGACAGCATTAACCCTTCAGAGCGAGGGCGGCAGAAGAGCACCCCTGAAAGGCACTGATGGAGGCCAGGGCGAGGGGCAGTGGCCCTGCGAGGGGGCAGGAGAGGCACAGGGCGGATTTCCGAGAAAGGGCACTTCTCGGGACTAAAGGATGCCTGGCAGGGGAAAAAGTTTCCATGTGGTCAGATACGTTCGTGAGATTAAGCAGACGGGTTTCCTGACGAGGGACTTCCCAGGCCCTGAAGCAGCTGTGTGCGCGGGCGCCTGCCGGGAGCTGCCTGACGCCGGACGTGGCTGCCCGCTCAGCGCCGGCCGGCCCTGGGACGTGCTGGCTCTCGCATGTGTGTGGCGGAGGGGGGGGGGGTGCGAAAGGGGGGGTAAGGCTGCACTTTGGGCTCTGGCCCAGACTTCCTGGAGGGGCTCGGCCAGCGCTGAGTCAGCATCTTACCTACGTCGGAGAGCACCCGGATGCAGCTCTCCACGGAGGCCTTCTGGCTGGGTGCCAGCCAGTTGCAGTGGTAGACCCTGAACACGCCCTGCAGCAGCTGCACGAACACGGGCTGGCGCGTCTGCGGGAGAGAGGCCCAGAGGGCGGGAGGTGAGCCTGGGACTGGGGCGCGCGTGCGAAAGTGAGAAGGGGCGGCCGCTCGTGAGCTGGGGTCCAGAGCTGCCTGGCCACGGGGGCAGTTTCAGAAGCACTGGCGGGCGATGCCCAGACATGGCGCGATCTCAATCTGACCACTAGGAGGCGCAGCGGGGCCCCAGCGGAACATGGTCTTGCTGGTTACCAGGCCGGCTCCAGGACCGCGAGCAAAGGGCGCCAGCTCCCGGCCTTGAGGTCACCCACACACGACATAAACGGAATGGGCACATCAGCCCAGGCTCCCCCAGACGTGACGGCCATAAGCAGCGCCCACAGTCTCAATCAGCAACAGCAGGCTGGGGAGCGCAGCTCAGAGGCCTTGTCTGCTTTATTTCGGTGACACAAACTCGGTCTGGCGGGAGCTCCGGGGCCATCACCCCAGAGACCAGGACTTAGAAGCGACTACACGGGGTCGTCCCCTGCGCTCCCCGAGGAGGCGTGCTCCTGCACTCCCACGAACACCCACCACGTGGTGATCCCAGCTCTTGGGTACACGAGGGACTGCCTTTGTCCCCACCTGAAGCCACAGGGTCGGGTGGTTTGGGGCCCTGAGGGCAAAGATGCTGGGTTTGGGGCACCGTTCCCCTGCTCTCTAGTTATGGGGGGAGGACTTGCACAGCCCCTCCAAAGACCAGCGAGAGTTAATACAACAAAGGGAAAAAGGATCAATAGACCCTAGAGAGCTTTCCTCAGAAAAGGCTTGGGGGAAGGACGGCTAGGGCCAGGAAATCCAGGGAGCAGGGAGTTTGCAGGGCCCCCGGAAACCCAGCCAAGGATGCACTGATGAAAACCTGCGCTTCACGGGATCTCACGGGGACCCACAACAGCCCAGGCCGGGGAGTCGTCCTCTTGCCGCCAGTGGCGAGCAACGGCCCGGGAAGGGGAAGTCCTCCACAGGATGGGAAGTGGCGCCGAGCCCTTTCCCCAGCTCAGTGGGAGCCAGGGTCCCCGTGCTCCCGTAGGGAGGACTCTGCCCTGCTCCTCACGCCCAAGAGCACCGGCTGAGGAACCCGGCCACTGGGTTCCTGGGCCCACGGGGCAGCGGGCGACTGAGCACCTCTGGGGGGGCTCAGCACACCATGTGGACACAGGAAAGCACCAGTCCTGTTTAATGGGCTCACAATTCACTGGGTGCATTTGCTCTGACATTTTGGTTCTGCAGGAGAATGGGTCCTGCCGTGGAGACTGTCACTGTGACAGGACAAGTCCACCTGCTTGCAGACAGTGCCAGACAGGGTGCACCTGGCCCCCAGGAAGGCCAGTGGGCAGGAAGCAGCTGACCATGGCTGAGCATGGGAGTTACACCCTCTGAACCTCAGTTTACCCAGGGAGCGCCCTGCCTCTGAGGCTGCACTGAGCTCCTGTCAACTCCCCCACAGTCAATGGAAATAACCGTTGCCAACCACACCCCAGTGAGCACTCAGTGGACCCCAGTTACCCTCCCTTTGAGCATCACCTGAAATTTAATTCCATGTCACCTGTCTGTAACCCCCGCCCCACCCCAGGTACCCATCAGCCCCCTAACAGCTGCCCCCTGCCCACGCCAAGGATGGTTAAGGCTGCTTCTCCTGCCACTGGAGACTGGGGCTCCTAAGCCAGAAGGGGGTGGGCACAGCTGGAGGGAAGGAAGCGTCTCAAGAGAAAGGGAACCACTGGGACAGGACGGCAGGCTCGGACCGTCCTCGTGCGGGGCCCGCGGCAGCTCTGGGGAAGCGCCGTGCAGGCTGCCGGACCCAGCCGCTCGCTCACCTGCAGGGTGGTGCTCTGGTCCGAGAAGGGGGAGCTGAAGAAGGTGGTGACGATGCTCATGACGATCTCGGTGACGTACTTCTCCAGGATGGAGTCTGCGTGCTTCCTGTCGCTTGTGTTGTTGCAGGCCTGGGGACACCGGCAGGGAGACAGCCACCCTCACCCACGCACCCACGGCAAGGTTGGAGGCCAGAGCCGCCCCCTTGGAGGTAACAACAGTGAAAACCTGGCCCATGGAAAGAGGGGGGCCAGCCTGGACACCACAGGGGGAGACACAGGACAGGGAACCCAGTGCAGCCCCAGCCCAAGTGGCAGGCGGAAGCCCCAAGGGCCGCCCGGGCAGGGCTCCGGCATCTGCACCCTGACCCAGAAAGGCGGAGGCAGGCCATGCAGGCAGGGCTCCACGCACTGCATGGGGGTGCTGGGTTTGGTGATGGGCACGGTGAGGTAACACATTTGTGGAAGTGTGAACCGGTACCCCTAAAACACTGCCCAAAACTGACATTAATTCAATAAACATCATTAGAACTAAAAATAGTTTAATAAATAAGGAAACTTCTGGGCCTCCCTCGTGGCGCAGGCGTTGAGCGCAATGCTGTGAAGCTGTCCGCAGCCTCTACAGTGCCGGTTCGATCCCCACCGGCCACGGAGCAACCCACATGGCGAGCAGACCTCTCCTGCCGTGCCCACTGCTCCCCTCAGCAGTGTATTTCGTCAGTCTGCCTGTTCTGTTCCCCACTCTGTCTCTGGTGAGTCCTCTCACCCTCCCGTGCATCTGGCCTGTACCCCAGTTCTTGTATAAATAAAATAAATATTTAAAAAAAAATAAGGAAACTTCCCCGAAGTGAACAGTCCTGGTAAGTGACTCATCCGCCCTGGCCATGGAGCTATGAGTGCACCGCAGGGAGAGAAGGGGGTACAGCTGCCACGGCAGGGAGCGCCCCGGGCCCACGGGCCCTTGAGGGGCGTGGGGCGTGATGGGGCTGAGATCTTAGGCTCCGTCTCTCCTCTGATCTTGCTGCTTTGAATATCATTAGCTATTTACAGGGTTCCAGAAAACATCTGACCGTGTCTATAGAGTAACTTACGCGTTTTCAAAGAAAATTTTTTAGAGAGATTTTGATTAATGCCCAAGCAAATCATCCAGAGCTTTACGGGGGAATACTCCCCCCGCTTTTCCTCACCGAAGAGACTCACTCTGCATGTGTGATGACGGACCCAGCCTGAAGCCACCGCCCCCTCGTTGTAACAGCACCCCCCTTCCCCAGCTGACTGGTCCCGAGAACACATTGTTTAAACTGAGTGTCACTAGCCACTATCGCGTTGAGCTCAGTGTGGGCAGCGTGTGGACACATCCCAAGAGGGAACTGGGCAGTGACCTCACAGCACATGTGACCAGCTCAGCGGGGAGTCGCCAGGTGAGGGTTGGCGGGTGCTCCGCTGACTCATCGGGTCACGGGCCCGCCCGCAGGGTGCTGGGCCTCACTCGGCCACCACACTCAGGCAGGGACCCGGTGGCCAGACGCCTAATCCCAGGGCCTCTACAGAAGGCTCTGCCCAGCCCCGGCTGGCAGAAGCGAAGTTGGCCTCACTCTGGCAGAGCCCCAGGGCCAGCGGGCTGGAGGCGCGGGGTGGGGGACAGGAGACCCCTGAGCATCAGCACCAGCCAGCCCGGCAGGGAGAGCAGCTTCCCATCCTCTGGCGTGCCGGTTAAGTCCCAGCCAGGCAGAGCCACTCCACACCGGGCTCTGGTGCACCTCTTCTCTGACATCAGCTAAACTCCTGAGGAGGCTTGGCCGTGGCCCTCCCCATGACACCTGACTATAACCCTCACCATGGGGGCGTCCCAGCAGCGTGAGCCACAGGTGGACTCCGGAGCCCGGGCACACGCTCCCATCAGGAGGGGTCTGGCTGGGGACCGTGCTCCTGATGGAGGAAGACCCTGCGGGCTCAGCTGAGCATGCCCGGGCTGTCACCCAGCCCCCCAAGTAGGGGGCGGGAAACCAGAGAGAACCGTCTCCTGGAAGCAGGAGGTATAAAGTCTATTCTGGGCTCAGATCAAAGGTGGATGGAAATGAGCCTCCGGTGCCACGTGTCAGTGGCTGAAATCAAGTGAACACGCCCGCATGCCTGCACCGAGGGCCCAGGCGGACACGTAAACATGTGTGCACACACATATGTACACACACACACACACGTGCACACGCAGGACCCTAGCTCCCAGCCCAGGGCCTTACCCGGCAGATGTCCACCAGGAAGTTCTCGAACAGCTTCCACATGTGATTGCTGGTGTAGATCTCCTTCATCTCCACCTCGGTGTCCACGTAACAATGATTCAGGAAGTTGATGTAGGCGATTTTGACCTGGAAGGTAGAAGGGGCCTTTCTGCAACGCCAGCCTGGCGCTCCACTTCAAACCGGCTTGATTTTCTACACTGAGGTTGTCTCCGACAAAAGCAGGCTAATATTTCACCTCCCTCACCCACAGTAAGAGAAGTGTGCACCAAAGCTATGTGAACACACCCTTTTCACCAGCAGCTACCGAAGAACCCCCAAATTTGATATCATGCTGTGTGGACATGGCTGTGTGGACATGCTGGGGAGAAAGGCAGTCTCGTTATTTTCTTCTTTTCATATTTAGGAATGATCTGGACCTCATTATATGACAAACATGTCAGACTGTCATGGAAGGTACCAGCACACACACAGCGGCATGTCATGGGACTGGAAGGAAGAACAAGGGCCCTCTCTCAGGACTGGCGTGAAATGGGGCGTGTGCCCAGACGTCACCTTCCTGTTAAGAAATAAATAGGGGGCAGAGGGTGAGCGCAGGCTGGTGTGTGCTCACAAGCACGGCCTGGAGCGCCAAGGAAGGCCGTAGGAAGCCATTTTCTGTGTGGTGGGGGGGTGCAGGCTAGATTTTTCAGTTGCTTATCATTTGCTGCCTGACTTCAAACTATTAGCTTTTTAAAAAATTAAACTAAAAAGAAACCATGTGTATTTAATATACAGCACACCTGCTCTGTACATATAATGCATAGCTTAAAACAACATCATAAAATATATAACACGCTGTGAAATTCCTGCTTTGGTCCCTGGCCTTATAATATGGAAGGGGAGAGACAGCCTTGAGGAAGGGTTTACGTCAAAAACCCAGCAGGAGTTCATTGCGGGGGCAGGATCTACAGATTATTTTCACGTTCTTCTTGGAAGTGCTTTTCCCGTAGATCACCTGCAGCAGACACGCTGGATAACCACCTCCCTGCTGCTCAGGCAGCCCCACCGTGAGGACAGCCCTGCGCTGGCCAGGCTCACGCTCAGCAGGCCGAGTTTGTTCCTCAGGGAGACACAGGAGGGAGCCGCCCGGCCCACACACACTCCCGTCACACACAGCGGGACTGGGCCTCACCCCCCAGCACCAGGGAGCCCACCCCAGCCAGCGCACGCCCAGGGGAGACACAGAGCCACCCGCCTGCTGACCTCGGGGATGCAATCCTCGTGGGTGACCACGCGGACGATGTCGTCCAGGGGCAGCAGGGAGTTGCACTTGATCTCCGTGTAGACATTCTTGCCCTCGGTGCACACAGCCAGCAATTCCACCAGGTGGATGTGGTACATGAGCGGGCTGTTTTCATCCATGCGGTCCCGCTCCGAGCGCATCATCTGAATCAGGGTCTGGAACGAGGCCCGGTCGTTGTAGAAGACCAGCACGTCCTCTCCCGAGTTCACCAGCTGTGGGAGCACAGGGCTGGTGAGCAGGCGGCAGAGCCCAAGTGTCCCGAGCGGAGCAGGGGACGCTCCACCAACGTCACCCTAAACTAGCCTCGCTTCTCTCATCACTGAACAACTACACGTCCTGAGCACCTTACCCCCCAGACGTGGGACTATGGGGGCCCCACAAACCCACCAGGGCAGGAGCGTCTGCAGACCAGAGGGGAAAGCAGAGCTGCTCTTGCACCCCAGCCGAGGCGTGAGAAGCAGGGCCTCCGTCCGCTGTGCCAGGAGTCCCCTTACGGCTTGGCCATGCTGTGCTTGCCCCAGTCACACCTGCTGGCCTCGACTAAGAAGAGGCATCTCTGCCACACTTGGCCTGGCATCCTTCTTCTAAACTGGCCCCCAGAGCTGGGGTTGCTCAAGAATCTACTGAGGTGAAGTCCATTTGAGCACTGCCTGGGTGTGGGGGTGCAGAAAGGGCCGGCGCAGGGGACAAGTAAGCAGGGCCACACCCTCAGCAGCCCAACCCGGTGAGCACCGATCTGCAGGTGCCTGACCAGCCTGTCAGGCCAACCACCTTGGCTGGGTGCCCACCCCGCCGGGACACCAGGGTGAGCCCGGACCTGCCCCGGCACTGGCACGGAGGCTAAGCCCAGGACCAGACAGAAACTGCCGCCACAGTGGGGGCTTGGGGGCTTCCAGCGGGTCCCCATCACTGCCCCGCGACCTCACTCCATGACCACCTCTGCAGGAGACGGCGGTTCCTCCAATGCGGTTTGAGAAACAACACGTGCCATGTTGCGCAGTCAGTGAAGTGGCACCGTGACCTCCCCCAAGGTGGCACAGCCCCCCTGACCCAGCACCACTGACGGGCCCAGACAGATGGACAAGAGCTGCAGGCGCTGAGTGCATCCGCATAAGCCCCCACTTGCTAGGAAGCCACAAAGACTTAATGAGCAAGTACTGGACTCTGGCTCCTGGTCACTGGCCCTCCGTCCACAACACGGGGGCACTGACATCCCCAGAGACTGGGGGGACAGCTCCCACCCCACAGCCCGCTCTCAGGAGTCACCAAACAACAATTTTTCCAGCAAGTGAATCTGGGGGAATAATGAAAGAAAAAGTCATAAAATTCCCAAGAAGGGAGGCTCCACCCGGTCACTCTCCTCCCTAGGATGGTTCCTTGCTCCTGGGTTTCTGTTTGTTTTCAGGTTCTCTTAGGACAACCTGAGTCCAACTTTCGTAAAACAAATGGATTTGTTACTTTTTAAAAAAATGAAACTGCTGCCTAGATCAAGACTCCGCTCACACACATGAGAAGGTGCACACGCACAATCACGTCCCGCCCTCAGAAGGGCCCTTTGTACGGCTTCCCGTCGGCACCAGTTCCTGCTGCTAAAACCCAGTCACTCGGCATCCCCACGCGACACCGGCACAGGAGCACAGGGACACGGCTGTCACCTCGGCCATGACCATGTCTTGGCACTTCTTGATGAACTTCCCTTCGGCCTTGACGATGGTCTGCAGGAACTTGATGTACTGGACGCTGCGGCCGTGCGTCTCGATGCAGTGGACGAAGTGCTGGACCACGCGCTCGTTGATCTCGCTGCATAGCTGGAAGCTGTTCATGAAGATGTGCTGCATGGTCACGGCCTCCAGGATCTGCGGGAGGGGTGGACAGGGTCAGGGCGGGTGGCCGGGGCAGGCAGCCGAGGCCCAGAGGGTGTCTCCATGCTCTGCTGTCTCCATCCTGCCTGCTTCTTCACTAACCGGTTCTGATCTCATGCGACAGTGAAAAAATCACGAGCACTCAGCTAAACGGAAACACCGGCTGCAGACCCAGGCCCAGACAGGCTCCTCTGAGCCCCAGCCCCACCCCAACCGCTGCTGCTTCCTAGCAGAGGCTCCTGCTGTGCCTCGCAGCTAAGGCCTCCTCTCTGCCCGGCTGTTTTGCTCAAGGTTGAGTCAGCGATGTCGTCACCCAGGCCGATGCACGAGCCGGTGAGGCGTGAGCCCGGTGTAGACACCCGGGGCGGGAGTAGGTGACGTGTCCACCCTACTGCTGGCTGCGGGCATTCGGGTGGGCAGTACGACGAGTGCAGCACTGTTTTTGTTATACATCGCCTGTTCTGAGCATCCTTGCTTACCGTCCGGCAGACCCGACAGATGTGCTTCTGCTGGGCCGCCCTCCGGACGTCACTGGTAGAGACACGCCTGCCTTAGGAAGTTACTGCCCAGCGGCCCTCCCAAGTCTGCCCCATTTACATCCCCTATCACAACTCTTCCTCCCCCAGACCCCCAGCCCTGCCTGACCCCCCGCCCTGCCCCCAGCCCCGCCTCACCCCAGGGTTGAGAAACAGGTTTATATGCTTGTGCAGCAAGGCTTGATTCTGCTGGTTGCCGGCGCAGAAATTCTGCAGGAACTCGTGCGCCAGCCGCATGATCTCCTGCATCTTGGTGTCCTCGGCCTGCAAGGGAGGAGATATGGGGAATCGGGCTGGGAAGGCTCTGTCCTGATGCGGCTGCATGTGTGATGTAGCCTGGATGTGAGTCCCTGCTGGTCCATGAAGGCCAACGAGAACTCTTGCCCTGCCAGACAGGAGGAGGCAGGCCAGGGGGTGGTGCTACCTCGGATCCCAGGACCCCACACCCGGTGCCTGCCAAGGGAAAACAGCGAGGGCTGCACTGCGGTCCTGGGAGAAGCTGGTGACTGCTTATACCCCTTGGATGGAAATGAGCTCCAGCCGCTGGTCCAGGAGAGACCAGAGATTTCACTTGGGGAAAGAGAAACAACACTGACACCTGCAAGGAAGCTGCAAATGCCCCCGCCCCAGAGAGGAACGGGGCTGACCTGACCCAGAGGGGACCCAACCCAGGCACAGGACCCTTTAGCCACCCAGCTTTGGGCTACATTAATCTGCAGCGGAGGAGAGGGCACCAGCAGAGCGGGAAGTTGGGCAAAGCCACTGGCCAGGGGCCTCCTGCCACTTCAGCTCATCCTGTACCTACACTGAGCCTCTGCCTGCAAAACGGGGTGATGGCATGTGCGCTACCTGCACCACAACTCACAGCTGCCTCACCTGGGCCTGCTACCTCCCACGATAGGAAGTTCCCTGCAAAACACTGCCAAGACCGACTCCCCTAAATCCCATCACCACCGATGACAGAAGCTGCCAGGAGACAAAGCAGAACTCTGGCACCAACAGAAAGACCCACCTGGAAGGCCAGACAGGAAGGCCTGCAGCCCCAGGGAGCACTGGGGGGCAGGTCCAGGCCCCACACGAACTGGGCCACCCCTACTGCCCTGTCCCAGCCACGTGGCGTGGAGCAGGCAGTTAGTGGACAGGATCCTCCCTGACAGAGCTGGACGCTGGAGGCAGGGCTGTGACCTCACTGACCATGCTCTGCTTCGTATAAGCCCCCGCCCCTCGCATCACAGCCACCATGGACACGTCCCTTGTGTCTCACCAACATCCGGACGGGGACAGAGATGCAGGACAGGCGCTCACCTTCTCGTAGGGAATCTGCAGCAGCTCCAGCACCACCGCGTGGGCCCCCATGTTCCTCAGCAGGCGCTGCTGCTGCTTCCGGCTCTTGCGCACGGAGGCGCCCTCCTGCACGCAGAGCTTGCTGAGCCGGATCAGGATCTGGGAGAAAATGCACCAATGTGGGGGCCGCTGACCCACGTCTCATGCTGGGGGTGGGGGTCGAAACGAGCAGCTTGAGGACTGTGGTTGAGACACCCGCCTTGAAACCAGTGGGGATAGGTCTCCCCTGTGGGAGGTGGACTACGCAGAGGGGTGGACCGTCCACCTGACTGTCACCCTCTTACAATGAAACGTGCACACGTCGTCATGCTGGAAGTGCACCGCAATTTTGTCAGCTACGCCTGGGTAAGGCTGGACGTCTCTTTTCCAAAGCAAAAATAAAACCCAGCAGCCATCGTTAGAAAAAGATTTCTGGGTGGGTGGTGGGCAGGGAGGCAGAAGGGTCACAACGCATGAAGGAACAGGGTGATATGGCCCAAGTAGTGTCCTGCCAGTGGTGTCCAGCCAGGCCCACACCAGGCCAAGGGAGAACAGGCCCTCCAGGAGAGTCACGGGATCTAGCTGCAGCAGCAAGTGGGGGGCTCCAGACGGGCCCCGGAGATGCCAAGCTGGGCATCCTGGCCAGAGGAGCAAAGCCCCCACAGCCCCAGGCCCCAAACACCCTCATGGAGACGCGTGAAGCAGGACAGCCATCACAGGGCTAGAGGCACCCTCCCTGCAGGTGGCCAGTCCTCCACCCTCCACAGGCTGCCAGGCCCAGGGGCTCCTTCAGGGAGGGAGACGAGGCCACAAGTGAGCTGAGAGCCAGACACTAAACCCAGCACTAGGCCTCGCAACCGGCTTTCTCCCACTAACTCACACACAGGGAGAAGCTTGTGTCCGCACCTTGGGCTCACCTGCCGAACCTATACCCCCTTGGAAAGCCACGGAGAGGAGCGGGGCATGGGCTCACCTCCTTCACCACCCGGTAGTTGTAGCTGCTGGCACTCTCGTGCTTCTGCGGCTTGCTGTTCCCCTCCTAGGGACAGAGGGACACAGCGCGGTCGGCACGGCTCTGCGACCACAGCTGCGCATCAGGGCAGCTTCGTCCCTCCGGAGGAGAGCAAGCCCCCCCTGCGAACTGCATTTATACCAAAACCACCGGAGAGGACCGGGCAGGACTGGAGAGGACCGGGACCCCGCCCCAGGTGGCACAACCCAGCGCACCCACCTCTGCTTTCTTATGTTCATTTTCACCGGACACGCCATCCATGGCCTCGTCTGGGCCCTGCCCCTTGTACACCCACAGCTCTGACTTCTCCACGATGGACCGCAGCTGGTCCAAGTCCTGCTTGATCTGTTTGTAGTTGTCCACGTCCTGGCTGGTAACAAGCAGCTGGACCTGAGCAAGAACAGCCACTTAGTGACGCGCGGCTCACGCACGCACACCTGCACCCACACACCTGCAGACACGCCACACGCACAGCTCGGCGCGCTACCTGCTTGAAGGCCTGCAGCACCTCCTGCCTCTGGCTAAAGTGGCGGAAGAGGAGCTGGAGGGCCCCCGACACCAGGGGGGGGTAGTCGTGCATCGTCAGGTGCAGTAGGACGCGCAGGAAGGTCCGGCCGCCATGGTCATCCAGGTCCAGCGGGGTGTTCTCCTCACTGCAGGGCACGCGGTGGAGGCCGGTGAGCATGCACCCTCCTGGCCGGTCAGACCCGGACCCGGTGCCCCATGGAGCCATCTTCCCTGAACTCGGGCAGTTCAGAGTCACAGTGGTCAAACGCAGCCCCCCCCACGGACCAGATGGCCCTGCAAGCCGGTCCCCCGCCCCTGAGAACTGCTCTGTGGGGGGCAGGGAGGGAGATAAAGACCCCAGCTTAGAGACGTCCCCACAGGAGCACGAGGGGGGCAGTGCACCACGGAGGTGCTGGTCCCAGGGACCCACCCACAGTCACACCACAGACCTCTGCAGGCCCGGAGCGCAGCAGCCCCTGCTAACTCACAGCACTGTGCAGTGCAATCCAACACCTGCTGGCTGAACCCAACACTGTTTGGGGGGACGGTCTCCCAGCAGGAGATGGCGCAAAGGCCCCAATGTGCGTACTGGGAGAACCTCGTGCGGGGCTGCTTTATACCCAGGTGTTCGGTCTCGTGGGTGTTTGAGTCTCAGTGTTTCAGGTCAGCACGGAGCAAATCTGGGTTTTGCAAAAGGCACTGATATGTGAACAGAGCGCTGGGGCTCCTGCTGTGAGGTCGCTGAGGAGCTCCGGGTGAGGCCCCAGACGCGCAGCCCCAGGGGACAGTCCCCTCACCTCCCACTCCCAGCCCAGGCCCTGCTCTTCTCACCACTGGAGAAAACCCTGCAATGCGCGTGCTCCGGGCGGTCTCCTGAAACCCTGTCCTCCCAGGCAGAACGCGTGGACACACGCACTCTGAGCCACGGCAAAGGCCGGGGTGGCTTCGGTGCTGAGCGTCCCCAGGGGAGCTGCCCCAGCTTGAGCCCAAAGCCCACGCCCTCCCCGGAGAGCCAAGGAGAGGCCCCGCGGCTCCTGGATGCCTCGGCACCACCCACGCCAGTGGCTGAAAAGATACTTTCCTTCCTCCGAAGATGCCTTCCGCCTGCTCTTCGATGTGTTCAAAGTCAAGAGCACCTGGAAGTGAGAGCCGGGACTCAGGTGACGGGCTGCTGGGGCTGACCCCGACCTGCTCGCCCTGCCTGTGGCTACACCCCCAGTCTCACACAGGGGCCCCCCACAGAGCACCAGGCGCCCCCAGATCACACCACTCCACAGGTGGGTCGGCACCAACACGCCCCCCACTTCCTACTTCAGCAGAACTCCCGGAGAAGCCGCGTCATGGCTTAAAGGCCCTTGTGACCCATCCGTTTTCATGGACATTTTGCTTTGTTACAGCAACCCCTGCCAGAGGGAGGGTCGGGTCTGCCTGGGGAGACGGGCGCTCTCAGCAGTCCCCGGCCAGGAGGTCACCTCCAGGGTCCCCCTAGGGAGCCATTCGGACCCCTGGCTTTCGCCACCCCCGAGCCACTCCACGGCTGACATCCAGTCCTGGAGTCACTGACCTGGCACGTTGCTTGGGCCCTCCTGGCTGCTGTTCCCGGAGGATGTTTCCGAAGTCTGGGAATTGCTTTCATCAAATTCCCGCTTAAATATACACAGGAGGCAGGAGATCCTATAATCCAACCTCACATTCAGAATAAACTACGGAGTCAAGTGGAAATGGAAACAGATCGGTTACTGAGCACACACAACTGCAGCCGCCAAGCCATCCCCACAGCGTTTCAGAAAGCGCCTCCAGAGAGAGGGTCAAGTTGGCTGCCTCTGACCTGAGATGGGACAGAAAAAGCTGCGCTTTTACCGCTGAAAACTAGCTTGGTTATTCCTATTTCTGATCATTTCCTCTGATCTAGAGGCTCCGGGGCGCCCAGGTCTTTCTCGTGCCCTCTGCTCCGACAGGAGGGAGGAGGGAGAGGCGCTGCAGAGCAAAGGGCCCCGTGAGCTGCGTCGTGAGTGGGGCCTCAGCCTTCTAGGCAGCAGCACAGCAAGGGCGCTCTCAGCAGGGGGGAGCGTGGGTGGGGTGAGGCCTGGACGATGGGAGGCTCAGGTAAGATGGGAGGCCTGGCCTGGCTGGAGGGCCACGGCTGAGGGGAGGGCAGGAGGTGACAGCAGAGGAGTGAAGGGGTCAGCTCAGAAGAGGCCCGACAGGCTGAGTTGGGAACTTCCTCCCCATTCTCTTGCCAGGGGTCCAGGCCTTCATCAAAGTAGGGAGGGGACTGGACGCCCCCCTGCGAGCCACCCAGCACGTTACCTGGAGGATCTCGATGATCTTCAGCTTGGTGTCCATAACCATGATGTCCTCCTTCTCCGGCTCCGCCTGCTTCGTGGTGCCCTCGGGGGCAGCAGCCATGGGTGTCACGGGCAGGAAGCCACCACCCCGCAGCACCACCTGCGTCATGAGCTCCCCGACGCCGTGGATGGACCGCATCACGTTACTGCCTAGAAGGGTGGACACACCTTGCTCACGCCGGCACCACGACCCGGCCACCTCAGCGGCCCCTCCTCGAGCGCAGCCATACCCTTGTGCTCTCAGCTACATCACGTCACCCCTGTGCATCCCTCAACAGAGCAGGAAAAGGGCACTCGATGGCACAAGGGGCGACACGCATGCAGACAGACCAAGCAGGGCCACGAGGTCTCTGTTCTGGCTGCGGACACTGAACCATGTCTGCGCGAGGCTCCAGCAGGTGCCTCTGCCCCCCGAGGGACCCATGAGGGCAGGCTGCCACCGTCCCAAATGGGAGGAGGATGCCCCGATGCCGGATTTATTTCTCAGTTAATGCACACATTATCAGGGAGGGCTCCGACATCCCAAGAACCCCGAGAAGCATCCCAGCTGGTGGGGACCTCCCAGGTGGCCCCATGAACACAGATCCCCACGCAACACAACGGCCAGGAAGTTCCAGCTCTTGGGGTTGGAGCCAGGTTGGGGGTTTGTGGAGTCCTCCAGCTGCCCCCTGTACTTGAACATGTCCCAGTGACTAGGGGGGAGGCCGGGCCGGGCGTCGGCTCCACCCTCACCTTTGTTCTCCTCCCCTTTCGCCATCTTGCTGATGGGGAAGATCGTGGTCACGTGCACGCAATCCAGGATCGCCAAGAGGATCTTGGTTAATCGCAGGAGGTCCGAGAAGTTGTAGAAACCAAAGTAGATGAGGTTCCTAGCCAAATTGACCACCTTTTGTGTTAAAAAAGAAGAAAAGAGCATTTCACAGCCTGTATCCCTCAGTTCCACTGCAGGCTGACTGTTCATAAGTGGCCGACCTCGCCTTTCCTGACTGTAGAAAGCAAGCATGTTTCGCTCGCCCTTTCCTGGCGGTACTTCGCTTTATCTCGTAAGGTGGGGAATTAAATGCAAAACCTCTAAAGCTAGTGACCTGCCTTGGTGACTACAATGTCTGACAAAAAACAGACCTAATCATCGCGTCCACGCAGCCTCCCCGAGGGGACGCCAGATGTCCACGTCAGCACTTGGCCGCCGTGGGGGCCCGCCCCGACAGCACCACCCCGGGACCCCCTCCAGAGTGGGGCCCAGGGGCAACAGCCCAGCTCGAAGGCACCGGGGATGGAGGGGCCCTCAGCAAGGGACGGCCGAGGCAGGCTGCAGGCACAGCGTCCCCTCTGGCCCGTCAGCGGGAGTCCTGGCACAGCCGGGCCCTGCTCTGAGGGGGCCCCGAGGGCCTCCCTGTCAGTTCTGCCACCCTCTGGAGCAGCCAGGCCCGGGCCTCCCCACAGCGCCGGGCTTGTGAGGCCCACAAGGGCGCCCTCTGTTCTCTGGAGAAGCCCCCCGACGGCGGCCACGTCACCTCGAAGGTCAGCTTGTTCTTCTCCTTGTCGGAGAACGGGAAGCGCTGGCACACCACGTCGCGCAGGTACTCCTCCACGAACTCCATGGTCTGCGCGAAGCGCTCCTTGATGTCGTCCTTGGACGTCCCGCTGCTGTCATAGCTGGAGGGGGGAGGGGTCAGGCCGGCTCTTCCCGGCGGGCTCCGCAGCCCGGGGCGCATCGCGCCTGTTGCGTGGACAGGGCGACGCACCCGGAAACCGCCCGGCCCGCCCGCCTCCCGCCCGCCCAGCCCCGCCGGCGGCTCACTCGTCGATGGCGATCTCGGAGGGGATCTCGGACCAGAGGCGGGCGTATTTCACGGGCGTGACCTGCTCCTGCGGGTCGCGGTCCACGTGCATGTGCAGCATGAGGCGGCAGAAGGAGGCGCGCAGGTCGTAGGGCAGGTTCTCGTCCGACATGCAGCGCAGGATGAGGTCCACGTCCAGCTGCCCCGAGATCTCGTTGATGGCCAGGTACTGGCGGTCCAGGCACATCCGGGCGAAGAGGTTCAGCTGGTACCTGGGGACGGCGAGGCCAGGAGCTGACTCTGGGCGCGAGGGGTGGGGGGTGAAGGCTCAGGGGACGGTCCAGGACCGACGCCCACAGGGGTGACATCAGCCCCAAAACCACTTCCGCCCCCACAGCTTGGGCTCCAGCACCCCCAGCTTGGGCTTCGGCACCCCCAGTTTGGGCTCCAGGACCCTGTAGACTGGCCAGTTCAGGCTGGACCAGCAGGCAGGCGTGTCCTGCCCTGTTTCAGGTGAGCACGGACTGCCCATCCCACTGCGGCCTTGTGAGCTCTATAAACGGGCAGGGGCACCTGACCAGACAGGCCGTCTATTCTGCTGTGGCTCCGACAGCACTCACAGGCACTCGCAGGGAAGCCACATGTTGGAAAAGCATCAAGATACTGCCTGCCATCAATCTGATTAGGACTTCTAGAACTTTCATCCTGTATCTCTCCTCTGACTTCACACGCACACAAAAAATAAGACACAGGAAGCAGGGGCCTCCTTGAGCGTCCCTCCTCTCTTCCTTGCCTGATCACAGCCACCTGCTAACTTGCACACCTGACCGGCCGAGGCGCGCCTCCTCGGGAGGTCATCAGGCATCAGAAGAGGAACTCGCTTATCATGAGAAATCCAACAGACACGGCTCTGGCGGCGAGCGCCGCCCTCCAAATTTCAGACACTGTCACCGACAGCCAAGCAGGGACACCCTGATGTGAAAGACTGAGCCGTGCTGGGTGCAAGGGGTGACCGTGAGGTCCCTCAGGGAGTGGAATCCTGCCCACGAGTCAAGTGGGAGGAGGATCTGCCTCCGTAGTGCCGGGTGTGCCGCCCAGACCCAGGCGTCGGGGGGCGGGGAGAGGGGCACGTGGCGTCCTGAGAGCAGGCGGCAAGGCACACATGGCGGAGGGCGGGAGCCCAGGCGGTCACGGGGACAGTGTCACCGCAGGCGGCTTGGGTTAGCAGTGCTGCAGCGGGTTCCCACCTTTTTCTTTTAAATGCATCTATCAGTTCTTTCCCTTCTGTTCCCTTCCCTCCCCTTGAGGTGCAGGGCTGAGCTGGGGCCCAGCAGACCCTTGATGGGAGAGGTGGCCACAGAGCCGCAAACAGGTGCACACTCGGGGCGAGCCCCAGGCCTCTTGCTATGGATCAGGGAGTCAGAGCAGGGGGCTGGGGTGGAACGGGAAGCCCTGAGGGCAACTCACGGTCATTATGAACCTGAACAGAGCCACATGGAAACAGACCCGCTGTGCTGGGTGGATGGACAACAGACACAGACAGACAGAGCTCCCACACATGCACATTTCATGACTGTCTGCAAAAGCGCTGTGGGGCTGGCATCACTGTCTCTGTGCTGCAGAGACAGGAACCAGCCTGCAGAGGGACGAGCTCCCAGAGGAAAGGAGCCAGCAAGCAGAAGGCCAGGGTCTGAGCCCACGCCACGCAACCCCACAGGGCAGGGCCTGAATCGGGGCAGACGCAGCCACACGCGGACAGCAGTTTGTCCCGAGTGCCAGCAGCACCAGCACTCTAAACCACACGTGGTCCCGAAACCTCTCCCGCTGGCCACCTCCAGGGACACCCGCAGGGCCAGGGGCTCGCAGCCCACCTGTAATAGCTGAGCACGTCTCGGTCCTCCTTCTGGCCCTCCTTGGCGTCCTGCGCCAGCTCCCTCACGCTCTTGCTGCGGATCTCCTTGTTGCTGTCTCTCCAGAACAGCCACACCTCCTCCTCGTCCTCGCCTGCCTCCAGAGCGTTCTCCCCGGAAGAGACCCCTTCAAACTCAAAACGAGAGAGAACCAGCCTGGAAAGGAAGCAGGGTGGGCAGGGTGGGGGAGTTATTTTTGAGACCTTGGCTGACCTCCCACCAACTAGGGTGAGTCCTGGGATCGGCCTCACGGCCGCGTGAAAGTACCAGTAACGACCACATGCAGAGAACTTTCAACTCTTAAAATTCAACTGAGCACGTGTAAAATGTTTCCTGTGAGCTGACGTCACCTTTAAGGCAGGTGGGAGATGGCAGGACAGGTCCCAAACCAAGAGCTCGGGGAGAGATGGCCCAGGCCAGGGAGCCAACTCAGGGCGTCTGGGGAACTTGAGGGTCAACAGCTGAGCCCAGATAGCCCTGAACCACCCATCAGCCACCTGCGCCCCTTTCCTGTCTTCACCTGGACCCCAGGACCCACTCACTTGGTCTCAATCAGGATGTCAGCGTTGGCTGGATTCAGCACGGCCTTGCAGATGAGCTCCTGCGTCACCGGGATCGACTTGTTCATGGACACGCAGAGGTCAGACAGGTAGTCCAAGAATCTGTGGGCGCAGGTGCGAATGGTTCCCGCAGACAGCAGAGGGCCAGCTCCCGGAGCCCCACCCGCCTCACACGGACACTGCACCTTCCCCTGCACGTGCAGTGTCCCCGGCACCTCAACCCCAGGGGAGCCAGAGGGCAGCAGGGAGGAAAGACGCGGTGCCTGGTGGGTGAGGAGGAGGCAGGAGAGAAGCTGGGCACAGTGGCCGGGAGGCTCAGTGCCCAGCCTGCCCTCATGAGATAAAGTGCGAGTTCAGAGGAGAGCATCAAATGAGCTAGTTCCTGTGCTCAGCCCCACAAAGCATCCTCACGGGTGGGGTGGCCTGTGGGTCGCAGCACTCTCCAGGGCTCACGACACCCTCGCTGCAAGCCGGGGGGCAGGAAGGGGCGTCACAACCCACAGGGAGGAGAGAGGGTATGCGTGTGGGGAGGGTGGGTGCGTGTGCCACAGAGGGGCACGATTCAGCAACGCTAACTGAACCCCCCGGGACAACTCGGCCAAGGAGCAGCCGACTGAGGGTGCTGGGATGGGGGCTGTGCCCGAGCCCCGGGGACATGGAGCCCGTGAGAGCCTCGAGGACCAGCATCGCGCGGCTCACCTGGGCTCCCTGTTCTTGCGCACCAGGCTGACAAAGGTGTCGATCTCAGCCGCGGTGATGTGCTTTTCCAGCAGCTTCCGGTTGTTGTGCAGCAGGGCGGTGATAGTGTCCTCGGCCAGCACGTCGTAGCCGATCTGCTTCTGCATGAAGCCGAACTGCTTGGCGATGTACTCCTTGCAGGGGGAAAGGCAGGTCAGCAGGGGGCACTGGACGCTGGTCAGTCCAAACTCATGTATGGCAGCATTGCTCCTGACGAGAATTCTGCTCAGGAACCACCGGACAGCATCTGCCCACGACCGGCTCCCCTGCCCCGTTCAAGAGGGTTTCCCTATGTGCCCCGCCCCGAACTGAATGCAGGGACCCTCCCTAGGGATTCACAACAACGTCGCTGCACCCCGCCCCTCTATGGGGTGAAAGCCCGCGTCTAAAAATCAGGGGCCACGGAAACAAGCTGGACCGCTGGGCCCATCAATCACATCCACAGGAGCTCCTCTTCGGCTGCCCTCCTTGGGATCGGACGGCACTGTCCGTGAAACCCCGAGACCCGAAGGAGCCTCTGCCAGCGCTCCGATCTACCGCAGGACCCACTCCTGTCAGCCTGTCTGCTCAGGCCCTTGGCAGCTGGCTTGGGTTTCTCTTATTCCCAGACCCCGGAACTGCTCAGGACTAACACGGCGGACACACACCCCTTGTCAGAAACCACCCAACGTCAGCCTGGACCGGATGCCCATGCACAGGGGCACAGGCAGGCATTGGCTTCCTGTCCAAGGCAGACAGGGCAGGCGCGGTCTGGCCTTGTCCGTGGAGGACGGCAGGGCTCTGTTTGACTCAGCATTGATACCCTGGAGCTGCGTTTTGGGGGCCACAGTGCCCACGGCCACCGTCCTGACCACAGACCCACAGGCCTAGGTGCTTTGTCCTTAAGCAACAGCAGAGGCTGAGGGAAAGGTTCAGAAACACTTGCCCACGAGGTCTGTCCAGTCTGTCTAGTCCTTCACAGAGCTGCCTGAGCCTGACACTGTCGTTACGACACCACAGCAAACTTAAACTAAGCAATGTCTAGACTTAAAGGCTGGGGACAATGGCAGATAGAAGCCTGGAACAGAAGCCCTTTGCAATGTCAGGCCGGCTGGACGGGGTGAGGAGGGTGACAGGAAACACCCCCACCGCGCATGGGCTACAGGTTTCCGTCTCAGCCCCACTGACTCGTGGATCAGATCACCCTGCTGTAGGGGGGCTGTTGTGTGCTGCGGGGTGTCTAGCTGCTTCCCTGGCCCCCACCCACTAGGTGCCAGGAGTGCCCCCAGGTCCCAACATCTCAAAGGGCCCAGACCCGCCAAGTGTCCCCTGTGGGATGAGGGGACACCCAGGTGAGAACCACGATGCAAGAGACAGTTGTTTCTTAGAGGCTCAAGCAGTTGGGGACCCCAGCAAGGCCAGACACACGGTTCTTGGGGAGAGAGGCAGCCACACTTCCGTATGCAGGTTGTGGCTGAGAATGGCCAGAGTCAAAACCGAGACATCAGCAGCAGAGATGGGGGCATTGGGGGGCTGGGAGGACAGGAAGGGAAGACTGGGCGCTCCTGGCACGGACACGCGGAATCGCTTGGGCCAGGCCGGAAAAGCGGCACGAGGTCATCACCAACAGTAACAGGGAATGCAGTCTGCTTGAAGATGGGCGTGGGGGGGTGTGCTCCAGGGAGTCCCACCTGAGGACTCTGCTGGGTTTTCCCGGGCTGCAGACAGCAGTGTTCCCGCCAGGGCCCACCTGGTTCTTGCGGTAGTCCTGCTGGGAGTGCCGCAGCACGCGGTAGCACAGGCGGCAGATGTGCCGGAAGGGGGCGTGCCGCTGGTCCCCCAGCTCCTCCAGCCGCAGCATGGGGCCGTCCCCGCAGTCCGTGAATGGGGCCTGCAGCAGCTTGAAGATCTGGGGGTGAACAGAGAGAAACCCTGTCACTGCTGGGCTCACGGCAAGTCACCGGACCTAGGACATAGTGTCTCCCTGCCCAAACATATGGAGATCTGCCCATCCAGCCACACCACAAGCCTGCGACCCTCTTAGCTTGGTCTAGCTCCATCTACACTGGCGAGACATGGGGAGGCCCCAGCACAGACGGAGGCTCGCTCGGCCACCCTGGGACAGGCACCTCTTCACCTAGACTGGCCGTGCAGAGGCCGCCGGGCCCCACCCTGTCTCCGGGAGAAAGGGGCCCTCTGCGAAGGCCACAGACTGTGATTCCAACCACAGACCATTTTGGAAAAGGCAAAACTCTGCCAGTAGCAGAAGCGCCAGTGATCGACTGAGTTGTCGGGGAGGGCGTGAAGGACGCATGCATGGACACAAAGGGCCGGGGGCAGTGAGGGCGCTCGGCTGACCCCTCGGGACGCCGTCCAAGGCACTGAAGCCACAATGCCCAGCGGCTCCCGGTCCCCAAGGCTCTGGACGGCACTGGGCGTCCACGCAGGACCAGCTTCCACCGCACACCCACGCTGGCAGGACGCCGATGCTGGACGTGGGGTGCGGGGGTCATGTGGGGACATGGAGTCGCCAGCTCCGAACTTTTCCCTCACTAACCCTCAGCCACTCTGGGAACACCAAGTCTGTGCTCTCCGGGGGACACGCCTCGTCCTCCCGGGCGGGTGCCAGCTCCCACCACAGCCCCGGACACCCCACTGACCTGCTTGAGGATGTTCTGCTCCCGCATCAACTTCTGCCGCTCGCGGTTGGGCTTGGAGAAGACCACCTCCAGCACGTCCTGGCCTGAGTTGGCGCCACCCGTGACGAAGTACACCAGGTCCTCCAGCAGCTTCGTGACAGACCTGGGGCCGCGGAGGCAGGAGGCGGTCAGCAGCGAAGCGTCCACCCATGGCCAGGCACAGCGACCAGGTCTTCCTGATCTGCCGGCCGAGGCCGATGACGGAAGAGCAGGAAGCCCACGACGCAAGGCCGTCACTGGCACGAGCGCCAGCATCACGGCAGCACCCGCCTGACACCTGGTGGCGGCACCAGAGACTCCTGCCCAGCGGGAGACAGGGCTCGCCACAGGGGCAGCCCCCAAGAGACCCAGCGAAGGCGACGCTCTCTCCGCAGTCACGGCCAAAGACACCCTGCCCGCGGCGACAAGCACTGCGGGTGTGGGCGGCACCCGGCCCTCACCTCCTCTCATTCTGGGTGATGGTGCCCTTCTCCAGCTTGCCCGCGATGGAGCCCAGCACCTTGCTGGCATCATTGGCGAAGTCCAGGTCCCGGACCTCGGCCGGAGAAACCGGGACGATGGCAAAGGCCTCCTTGTCCTCCTTCACCGGGGAGGTGCCGATCTGAAATGCAAAGAAGCCTCGTGGGCACCGACTCGGGGGGAGCGGCGAGGCTTCCAACAAACACTGCACACGCGGCGGCCGAAGCGCCGGGCTGCTCTGCAGTTATAAACACGCGGCTGTAGGAAGCACCAGGGAGGGGCCCAAACCATGAGCCACGGTCAGGCCTGGGGGCCGGAAACACGGCCTCGCCCCTACAGCTCCCCCGCCCAGACAGCACCCGGGATGCCTGTCCTCAGAGACGTGCTCACATACACGGGGGAGGGAAACATGCAAGACGGTCATGTTGACTCAAGAGTGTTATAAGGGCAGATACTCTACCATATTCTCAACTTCTCTATGTACTTGAAAATGTTCATGAAAGCAGAAAAATAGGTTCCAACAACCTCCCTCGTCACCAACGCACGCATGTGAGCGTATGGCCCGTTTACTGAGACAGACACCCGCATCTATGCACCCACGCTCTGTGACCCAAGAGAAGGCGGGCCAGGAGAGGCGGCTTTGGGCGGGGAAAGACAGGGGCTGGGAGAACTTAACTGCAAGAAAAGCTTGCATCTACACACAGAGAAACAACAAAGATCAGGGAACTCATCGTGGTATCCGGTGTCCCCGAAGGCAGGGCCAGCGGCCCATCAGCTCACCCGCAGGCAGACGCGAACCAGCGCCCGCCCCTCTGTCGGTGCTGATTATTTCAAAAGCCCTGGGTGTGCTCCCCAGCTCCCAGGGGGGACTCGTCATCACACTGAGCGTGTCCGGGGCCACTCTTGCCCAAGCGCCTCACGCCCAGGCCACATGCGCTCTTGCATCCCCGCAGGCGCCTTCTCGGCGGGCGCAGCGGGAAGCAGCCAGGCTGGGACTCACCTTGAGCATCACCGGCTTTTCCTCTTCCTTGTCGATGGGGGTGTTGGTGCTGTGAACCCAGGTGTTCGTACACAGGTGTCTGAGCCGGACATAGGAGTTCCTAAGGGGAATAAAGAAGAGTTTCAGGAGCCAGGAATGCTTAAGTCTTCTCTGCAGCCAGCAGTCTAGAGGGTATCGGTCAAAATAGAAAAAACACCCAAGCAGCTGTCTGCACATACGTTGGACAACACAAACTTAGGAGCCCGTGGTTCTGGCCCACAGTCATTTCGGTGCGTGTACAATGGACGGTGGCTCCTAACGGCTTCTATTACCGTGAGGCGCTGTGCTTCTAAACAGAAGGTCTCACCCTGTGCCTGGGGGTCTCAGGACAGAGTGAGCAGGGGAGGGACCAGAAATGGTCACTGAGCATCCGCCATGTTTATAATGAGAGACAGCGAAGCAATATCTTAAGGTTTCTATGGTAGAAAACGAAAAATGAGATCACGAAAACTCCTCGAAGAAGATGAGCGGCTAGTTAATAACCCTGGGGAGGGAGAGCACGGAGCAAAGTTCAGATCCCTAAATTCAAAAAAGTAAAATGGTTAATTGTCATGAGCATTTTGTATCTTCTATGCGGTAAAATAAAAATCATGAATCAAGCTGGGAAAGAAACAAGGCAAGCTGGGAAATAAAATAACAACACAGAGCAGGAAAGGTCACTTGCCTGCCTGTGTGAAGGGACCCCAACACCAGGGGAGCCACGAGTGTGGCGGGGAAGTCGGGCCAGGACCTGGCGATGCTTCAGTGACAGAGCCCGGTGGCCGACACGTGGCAGAAGCAGGCGCCCAGCCTCCCGAGGGCACGACTCTCACCTGCCAACTCTACCGTCCGTCCCCTGTGCGGCCTAGAGGGCAGGGGGCGTGCCCCCCACGCAGCCGGTGTGAGCTAGGAGGGCTCGGAGCCAGCCCAGGGGTCAGGTGACATGTGAGGAGTCACCCGTCTTCCCATCCAGAAGCCCCACTTCCCATGTTCCCCCAGCAGATGACAGCCTGGCACAGAGCGAGGCTCGAAGCTGCTAAACAAAGCTTTCCTCAAACAGTGACAGGCAGACGGCAAGACGCCGTGTCTCGGGAAGGGCCGAGTTCATCTCAGTGACGGAGAGGGGCACCGTCACTTAGCACGATGCTCCCGACAGCCCCTGCTGGGACGTGTGTCTGGAACATGGGGTTCAGAGAGGACTGAGCCAAAAACAGCTGTGAGTCTCAGGGGAGCCACAGGGTCACCTGTGTCCCGGGAACCCGCCTGACGCCACACAAGCCAAAGGGCTAACAGCAGGTATCGCTGAGGGCTCGGTTAAAAACTAAAAGTGATTTTCTACTTGCTTCTTGGTGAGCATTAAGATATTCTTGTGATTTCTTCTAAGCATGGGTCATTTTATAATTTTCGACTTTGCTTCTCCGTTAACGTAGGTGTGGTGGTGATGACGCCATTCTCTCCTCGAGGCCCCGCCTGGCCGCTGCGGAGGGACGGTGCCTGCCACGCAGACACAGGGGCGGCCGCACAGGACCAGGCGCTCAGTGGGCACGGCCAGGTTCGGCGCAGGCTCGCAGAGCCGGAGAGCAGGAAGCTTAGGGGCGTCACAGACATTTTTTGTTACAGAAAACCTGAGCTGGAACTTCAAATTTTACACGGCAGACAGGAAAGTTGGGACTCGCCTGCGTCGCAAGGAATTCAGACAAAACTAAACCAAAACAGACCCTGGAAATCTGACTGCAGCGCTGATGCCAGCAGAGGGGGGACGAATCCTTTACCAGACGCTGGACCAGGAACTCCAGAGGCCGGGCCCACACGCCACCCGGCTCCCGAACAGGCGCCTCGAACCCACCTGGGGACCAGGCTGTCGCCTCCCCGCAGAGTGGTGGGATCGAGCTCGAAGATGGAGGAGATGTCGTTGCCCTCGGGCACAGAGACCAGGGAGTACACCATCTTCTCCTGGGCGTTGCGCAGCCGGCTCCTCGAGGCGTCCTGGTCGGGGTCCACCTGCGGGGGAGGGTCCGTCAAGGCGGGTGCAGGCCAAGCCCTCAGCTTTCCGCCACCGCCTCCGTGCAGCCCAGGGAGGGCCGCAGGGCCAGGACCGCGGGAGGAGCCCTGGAGCTCTGCGCAGCCACACCGGGCCCTGCAGCGGCAGCAGCCACCCCTCTCGGCTGCACTGATGGCCGCGGCGGCTCAGGGAGGTCCCTGGGCAGAGGGCTGGAGGCAGCGGCGTCTGCAGGGCAGGGCAGAGCGAAAGCACCGAGCAGCCCATCCTGAGGCCTGGTGCTGGGCCATGGGTCCACCTGCAGGGGTTACTGCCCCAGGACGGCCGGGCCAGGCCCCTTCCCAGGAGAACAGGTCAAATACATCGATTATAGGCACATGTTCCCGAGCAGCGATCCCAGGGCAGCCAAGAAAATATTTGAGATTCAGACTAGCCCTGAAAAAAACCTCGGCCGTTAGTCCAGGAGGGTTGCCGGCGACACTCAGTAGCGAAGGCTCTCCCGAGAAACTGGATAGCAGCCTGGGCCCCACGCCCACTGCCCTGGAGACCGGAGCAGCCGGCTCCCGAAGCCGCTCAGACGCCAACACCCCGTGGGCACCGGACACCTCGTGGGGGCATGTTTAATGCCCAGCATCCTTAGAAGTCGACAGAACCCACCCACCCCACACCCCTGCCTGGGAAGCCACAAGTCCTCGTTGCTGACCTGCCACACTGGGGGAGCAAGTCTGATGGGGGAGCGAGGACTGAGCCCCGGCCAGCCACGAGGGCCCTCAGCCGGGAAGCTGCAGCAGCCGCCACTGCTGACCACCAAACCTTCCCGACCCCAGGCCTCTGCCTCCCCATGACTATCCCCGCTGACCCTGTCCGCCCTGGAGCAGGACGCCAGCTGTGGGGCCAAAACTGGGGGCCTGGACTCAGCTTCCTCCAAGTGCGGTCACCACAAGGGCCCTCGCACACCATGTGCACACAAAGGCCAGCCCGATTCTGCGGAGAGCCAGGCCCAGCTGCAGGCCGGCGAGTTCACAGACCGTGAGGGTCTGGAGAAAATTGAAAAGGGCAGGAGGGTGGGGACACGGGCCAGGCCAGGGTATGGGCGGCAGGTGCCACCTAGTGGGGGGAGGGCGCAAGCGCCAGGCCCAGAGGGGCTGTGCTGTGTCCTCCAGAGGGGCAGTGTGGGTGCTGAGCACTCTAGCAGGGCGAGTGAGCAACGCTGGGTGGGGCCCAAGAGCCTCCACCAGCCTCCAACAATTAGGTGACCCGCAAATGGGCCCCACTCCTTCCAAACAGAGGCAATGCCAGCTCCCCAGGGGTGTGTCCCGGCCAGCAGCGGGCCCCGGCCCAAGGCCAATACCCTGGGCAGAGGCAGGAGCCTCTCACTGCTGCTCCTGCGAGGACCATGGCACGGCGGTCGCTCCGCCCCAGCCCACCCAGCCTGCCACCCCTGGGGAGCATGAACACTGAAGCCAGACTCCCCGAGACACAGGAGAGGACAGGCCAGCTCTGCTTCCTCGTCTACGGAGCAGAGATGAACTCGCGCTCGCTCCTTCCCGAGGCCGTGCACACAGACGTGCTGGGGCTGCGAGGCACCGACAGCCCTGACCGCTCTGTCCCCTCGGGGCGATGCCGCTTACCCAAGAGCACGAGCCCCACAGCACCCTGACCCCACAGCACCCCGACCCCACAGCACCCCGACCCCACAGCACCCCGCCACACAGCTGCAGACGAGCAGCATGCGCCCGGGAAGGGAAAGCCCCGTCCAGAGCCACACACCCTCACAGGGTCAGCCTCCCCCACGTCCTCAACCCTGCTGCCACGAGCCGGGCTCTTCACGTCCAGGCAGAGAGCAGCAGGCGCCCAGGGCCCCGGCCCACCGAGCATGTGCTCTCCTGCAGAGGGGAGCCCATTCCGTGCCCAAGGTGGGGCCCCCAGATGCAAGCACCCCGTGGCTCGGCCACTCCTTCCGACAGACCGGATGGGCGCGGCTGTGCGAACCATCAGGGCCTGCAGCCCAGACTCAGCGCGGGTGTCCCTGTGCAGGCCGGGCTGGCCCCACCAGTGTCTCCGGGATAGGGCAGTGGGGAGCAGGCGCCGAAGGGGCTCCAGAGGGAGGGGAAACAGGAGAAAGGCGGCAGCAGGCCCCTCGGGAGCAGGGAAGAGAGGGCCACGGGCAGGAGCCAAGGGCAGCGCCTCAGCCCCCCGGCCCTTGGCAAGCGCTTTCCGAGTCCAGCTTTCTCAAGCTCCAGGAACACACCTTCCCACCCCCTGTGTCTGTCCAGAGATGTCCAGGAGGACACGGCCCACCACACAGAGACTGCTCACTCCCAGGGCGACCAGGGCAGCCCCACCCCCATCTCCACGCGGCACGACCGCTGCCCCCAGCCCCTCGGCTGGGGACTCTGAGCCCCCGAGGGCCCCAGACCGGCATGATCCAGCAACACGCCTCTGAGAAAGGACAAAGCCAAGGAGCCAGGCGTCGAACCACACAACCGAGTCCATTCCTGACTTTGCAGGAAGCCAAGCCCAGGCTTAGACAGCGACGCGTCTCACCCCCACTGTCCACCTCACGCCCGCCCCGGGACTGACTCTACGCCCGGGATCAAGGTCGACAGCATCTATATGTGGTAGTTACAAGCGGCTTCTCAGGATGGGGGCTGGGGTTGCCGGGACACACGGGAGGTGCAGGCCCCGCCGGCTCAGACTAGACGTGCTGCCCGACGGCCCCCTTAGGCCCTTGGACACAGGAGCGAGCACAAGGCCTTCTGCTGAGGGGCAGGAGCCCCATCCCCAGCCTCAGCGGCAGCGGCGCCCCTGAGCTATGCCCTCGCCCTACAGAGGAAGACGGGCAGGCTCCCTCCATACTTACGGGGGGCTGAAACTCCAGGCACTCTTCCTCAAAGTCAGGGTCTACCTGATGGAAAAAATCATTGGGAAATTAAAACATCCATTGCTTTCTCGGGCTCGGCCCTCTGCAGGAGACCCCGCAGCCTGCACACGGCTCTCCGCCAGCAAGACGCCGTCCCGTCCCTCCGGCCACGGAACCAGCATGCCACAACGACGACACGGCACACGAGCACGCCACGACACACACACGCCACCGGACACGCTCCGTGGTGCAGACCGAGTGACAGCACAGTGGGTTCTCGAGCGAAGCGGCAGCTGGAGCCCGAGATGGACACAGGCCCTCCGCGGGCGCTGGCTTTCCTGCGGGGTTTGTGAAGGACGGCGATGTGGGCCCAGCAGGGCCTGCCGGGAGCCGGCCCCCCACTCTGGCCAGCCCCATGACCAGCCCAGCTGGGGCGCTGGGTCCACAACTCTTTATGGTTCCATGGCAGATTTTAAGGGCATCTTGGTCTCTGGTTCTTTTTTTTTTTTTTTTTTTTTTTTTTTGTGGGACCCTCGCCGGCGGCCGGGGATTGAACTGGCGCTGCAGAGGCTGCGGACAGCCTCACAACCCATCGCTCAACCGCTGCACCACCAGGGGAGGCCCTTCTGGTTCTTAATTATTTCAAAATCATACATTCGTCCAAGGGCAGCCCCGGGGGTTGGCACGGGCCCCTCAGCCACCCTCGGTGCGCTACGCAGGCGAGGTCCACACCCACTGGAGGACATGCCCTCGCCATCCGTCCGCTGAGTCTGCCCTGCATGCACGTCCACATGGGTATCTGCCTGGCAGCCGCCAGGCCAGCGGATGCGCCTTGAGTGAATGCCAGAGTCAGGGCCGAGCCCTCAGTCCTGCAGCAGAGGACTGCCTTTCTGCAAAACCCTTCACAGACATTTAAGGTCAAGTTAATTTGGGGATTTCTGCACACTCCTACAGGTAAGAACCAAGACCCGTCCGTGCGGCTGGTGCTCCGGGAACTGAGATGCCAGCTCTTCACGTGTCTCACGTCCCCGCAGCCTGACCTCGCTGCCCAGCAGCCCAGACGCGTCCACGTGCAAGGCGGCAGGAGCGGAGAGCAGGAGGCAGGACAGACCCCACAAACGATCCTGAGTGCCAGACTGGCCTGGCTTCTGACTCAGCAGGGCTCCAGAGGGAAGCCCTGGGAGCCCTGGAATGTGGGCCTCTTGGCTTGGAGCAGGGGTGAGGCGGGAGGAAAAGGAAGGGGGCCCTACCAGCCATGGGTGAGCCGGGAGAGGAGCCCCTCAGCCCAGAAAGAGAAAATCTTGGCCCTCCACTTACCTCGGCCGCCAGGTAATGGCCCGTGGCCAGGTGCTTGAAGCGGAAGAGGCTGTTCCAGTACCCGGCTCCGCCCCGGCACGGGTCGTGCTGAACCACCTGCAAGAGGAGGCCATCAGGAGTGGCGCAGGGAGCCAGGCCGCCGCCGCCACACTGGCCGCATGCGTCCAGCAGACCATACACCAGCAGATTGGACAGGTGGGGCCTAGGGGGTGTGGCGGGCCCACAGCACCAGGCCTTTGGACGGACTGAAAACCCATGAGAGCTGTTGCCGTGAGATGGGTGAAAATTGTGTGGAATACGGGTTGTATCTGAATGAAGCTACTACTTTTACCAAAAAAAAAAAAACAAAACAGATTTTGAATCAGTGAAATAAAGGTATTTCCACACAAACATGAAGGTAGTTTCCGGTTCCCTAAGGAGTGCTGAGAGCACTGGAGGCCGCAGGCACACCTCAGAGACCTGCGGAGGCAGCTATTTGGGGAGAAAGTTAACCAGGCGCCACTGGGGACCCATGGGGGGGATGCCGTGCAGGGCCAAGACCCCCGGTCTCCACGGTCACGTGTCCTAGAATGCAGACAGCTGCTTAAACCGGCAGAATAAAGACAGTGGAGCTCATGCTGTATTGAAAGCCAAACAGACGTGACCCACAGGCAGGAAGGGGCAGAGCTGCCACCGCAGGACAGGACGGTCGTGGGGAGCTACTGGTGACCAGCCCCGGGGCAGCGTGAAGCCTCTGTCGTCGTTAAAAATATGAAAATGCACAGGGTTGCCTTTTATTTTGAAGGGACACTTAAGTTTCCAGCCTCTGCAAGGAAAAAAATGCAAAAGGAAGACATTCGATGGCTTCCTAGGATGTTCAGGGAAAATCTGGCAGGGAACCCACTTTTGGAGACTAAGACTCAGACAGCTGTTTCTTCTCAGTGGGAAAAAAAGAGGCAGCTGTGATGACGACATCAAGTTAAGTGGCCTGAGAGCTGAAGCCCATGCCTCACGCTCTCTACAGAAAGCTGAAGTTTCTGAATCCGTGAAATACAGATCACCCTGCCAGAACCAGCTCGGGGCGGCCTCCTCCAGGAAGTCCTCCGTCCCTGCCCAGCCCACGCTCCCCAATTCAGCCAAGCCCCCCGAGCACAGGGAGAGGGCCCGTCCCCTCACCCGCCACCCGCACAGCATGCGTCTTATACCCCAACACCTGTGCACCCGGCAGGTGCCTGACAACACGTCATGGTGACGGGTCAACCAGCAAGGAAAGGAACCAACAGGAGCAAGAGGAGATCAGCAGCCCAGAGAGGGAAATTTCCACTGTCGGGGCTGGGCTTGCCTCCAAAGCAGCTGTCCCTGTTTCAGCATAATTCACACCAGCAGAGCCCAGGGAAGGGCTCGAGCGCCCACGAGCAGGACTGGGCAAGGCGGGGCCCTGTCCACGGGCCGGGATACTGTTTGGCCGTAAGGAATGATGAAAGACACACCGGGCGAGTCGACGTGGGGGGTAATTTGAGGAAACAAAGGGAATGCACCGACAGCACGATAAGCGAGTGGACGATGAGCTCCAAGCTGAGGTTGCACAGGTGGGGCAGAAGTGAAGGGGGGAAGGGAAGGGGCATGAAGGGGAAATAAGGGATGAGGGGGTCTTTAAAAAAACAAGGAGGTTGCTCTTTTCCTCCAGGAGCGCATCCGGCATCTTTCTGGGGGGCCTGGTGTGCTGGTTTCTCTTGGGTCGCCCACCCGTGTTTGAGCCAGGGTGGGCCTGCGGACCCGGAGGCTCTCAGTCCACCCGCCCACGAGTCCTGTCCCCCAACCCAGACCCCACCCGCCAGCCCTCACCCCACCTCCCCAGGCCCCCCTCACCTCCACCTCCCACAGGGCCTTGGAGCTGGTGGCCGAGGTGGCCGACTGGCGGCCGGTGGTCCTCAGGAAGACGTGCTGCTTCTTCCGGTGCTCGTCACAGGTGAGGAACTTCTCCTGCTCTGCGTGGAATAGCCTCACCACGTCGCCCTGCAGCGAGGCCAGGAGTTGAGGGGAGAAGCTGGGGTGGGGGAGCTAAGGACACTCCTGCATGAGCCCAGCACTCACCCCCTTCAGGATGTCGTCCTTGTTGTCGCTCCACTTCATGAACAGGACTATTTTCCAGCTCGTGTTGCAATTGACGGAGTTGACCTGAAGAGCAAAGCAGCCCCAGCTTCTCGCTGCCGCCCGAGGCGAGGCCATGCTGCGGCCCAGGAGCTGCCCCAGGGCCAGGACCCAGGGGGCAGCTACTCGTGGGGCCGACCGCCAGGGCTCACGGACACACTTTCACACACACACTATAACAGGCACAGATGGACTGTCCCTGCGCCCAAGACTGCCCACGGGGGGTTAAGCAGACTGACCCGGGAAGCCAAAAGCCATCTCTCGGGCTGCTGACCCACCGAGCTGCTGCTAGGGCCCACTGCAAGCCCCAATAAAGAGGTAGCACAATTTAGGGGGACCAATCAGAAAAGGTGCCCCGTAGCTGGACAAACTTCACGGAAATGTCCACCTTGGCTCAATGAGTTCAAAACCAGTCTACCCGTGAAGGGCTGCAGCGAGGGCGGCCCCCACCCACCACCCACTGGTCAGCCACGCTGGGTGCTGGGCCCTGGTTTTCTCTCCTGCCACAGGAGTCCACCCCCTGCACCCCGGGGCCCATGTGCCTGTGACGGCCCACGGCCACCTCACCTCGTTGCAGCCTGGGTTGTCCACCAGCTGGTGGCTGCTGGCGTGCAAGGGCTGGCCCGCATTGACGGGGTTCAGAACCACCTTGTCACCGATGACCACCTGGAAAGGAGGAGCAGCAGAGGCTGCACATGGGCCAGGTGGCCCTGGAAGGAGCTGTAGAGCCTGCGGGGAGGGGACCCCCCAACCCTCGCAGGAGGGGTGTTCCGAGGCCAAGGTGACTTCTGGGCCGCCAGGCACTGCTGCCTGTGAGGTTCAGTTAAGACACCTGTACGCGCCAACTCTTAGAAGCAGAAAAAGTATCTTTGAAAGAATAAAGTCCAGAACAATGACCTGAACACTTTTCTGAGCACAAGTCACACTGAGAGACTCGCTGTCTGTCTAGAGATGGTGGAGTTGACGCCACGTGCATGCTCGTGCGCCTGGTGGGCACAGACGGGGCATGGACAGAGGGCACAGATGTAGGTTTCTATCTGCACAGAGCCCCCCTCCCCCAATACTTAACACAGCCGGATGCTTCCTACTCTAGCCCACCTGCAAAAGCACCAGTCATGGCCACTAAGCTGGCCCGTGGCCTGGGAAGGGAGCCCCTGAAAGCACTGTTGGGGACAATTAAAGACCGCAGGCCTCTCGCCTGTCACCAGGTGCAGCCACGCAGGTCAGTGTGAGGACAGGTGCGCTGTCCAGGCCGAGAATGGAGTGAGGACAAGACGCCCCCGTCTTTCCTCAGGGGGTGGACCCGAGGGTGGGAGTGATGGCATCTGGGGAACAAAAGCAATCAGCTTTCTCCAGCTCCATGTGAACGCAAATTCCTCAAAAACGCCAACACTGAAACTTCAGCGTCTGAACTTGTTATTCCAGTCTCACTGGGGACCAACACTGACCGTGTACCAACTGGGGCGGGGGGCCTGATGCTGGCCACACACACCCCCAGCTGGGCACATGTGTAAGGGGCCTACAGCAACATAAACCGCGACACTGAAAACTGGCAAAGCTCGGTTGTAGGTTCAGGCTGGTGGAACATGTTGATGCGATTCCATTCTGTTTTAGGCACATATTTTTTCTAGTACAAATTGACAATTTCCGGATTGTAACAAGGTCGGAAATGCAGCTGGCAGCACTTGTCACACAAGCCCGTCGTAAGGGCTGTGCCCACGCCCTGAATTCTTCATGTGGCTAACAAGGACCACGCTGCCCGGTCCCCGGTGGCCTCCACAGCCCCCTCACCCGGGGAGAGGCCACTCGGGACCAAGCGCCACTGCAGAAAGGGACAGAGACCTGCCGGCAGCTCGCGGTAGAGGACACGGCTGCTCCTGGAACCCACCGCGCCACACACGGCCTCCAGCTCCCAGCAGCGCACTCCCGCCCCAGTGACCAGGGTGGGGCACACTGGACAGCCGTGCTTTCCCAGAGGCTTGCCGATGTACAGGCTGCTCCAACAGCTCTCCAGAAGCCCAGGGGGAAAAGCACAGCCACCCTATTTAGGTCACACACATGCAGCACTGTGTTCCAAACACGGTTGCCATAGTGACCCCCTCTTTCCAGACAGGGTGAGCCCCGATTCCAACTTTAAAGTTCTCCCAGTTGACTATCACACAGCTGGGGGGCAACAGGCCCAGGGCAGGCCTAGGTTGGGAAGGGCACCCCGCTGGGAAGGGCACCCTGCTGGGAAGGGCACCCTGCGGGTCTGCACTCACACTGTCACCAATGGAGCGCAGCTTGTAGAAAGGCTGGATGTAGAACCAGGAGCCCTCGTTGCCGGCCTCGTCCAGCGTCACCCGCATGGCGTTCTTCTCCAGCAGGGCCGGGAGCCTCTTGTTCACGGTCAGGTACTTGTTACTCTTCAGATGCAGCAGCTGAAACCACAGAGAGAGGGCAGCGCTGCAGCCGTTTCCCTCCACCTGAGACACAGGCCTCCGACGTCCCCACCACCGGGGCTGCCCGTGCAGGGGCGTCTCAGGCCGGAAGGTGCGGGGGGCCGGAGCTGCACTCCCAGCAGCCCTGGGAGGGCGGAGGATGCTCCAGGCCATGGAGAGGGGCCGGCCCCACACGAGGGACGCAGGCATCACAGGCGCAAAGCGGGAGCGAGAAGCTCACAGGCCATTACTGGCACAGTGGCCGTGAGGCTGTTCCACGGGAAGGGCGTGGCCACTGCAGCGTCCACCTGGACTTCTAAGCCCCGAATCTTTAACCCTCGGGAATGGCGATGTGAACAGTTACAAATGTGGAAGGGAAACACCGTCTTCTGCTCAGTCCAGACCGGAAGCACAGGCCACGGCTTCCGACTAGGAAGGGCTGGAGGGGAGCGTGAAGGCGGTCGCCCCTGGACATGGAGAGACAGCGGGACACCCTGGCCACATGCAATACCCCCTCTGCACCCACACACCTTCCAGGCTGCTGGGGTGTGGGACAGCTGGTCCCGGGCAGGCCTCCCTGTTATCCTTGGCCAGCAACTCTGGAGCCAACCAGTGGGGGCATTCCAGAGTCCCCGGGGAGCCAGGTTGACCCCACAGGAGGAACTTCCAATCTCTGCAAGTTACACCAAAGGGCAGGGCCAGCCTTCTCCTGTGCGCAAGGGAGCGCCCCACTGGGGACACCAGGACACAGTTCAAGTCGGAGCAGGGGAGTGTGGACACCGGCGCGAGAGGACCGGGAAGACAGCCTCGTCCGGCCGTAACTAGAAACGCCAGGCCCCGGTCGGGCAGCTACCTGGGAAGGCGGCGGGGGTCCGGGGTCTGGTTCTCGCTCCCTCCTCCCTGACGGGGCCCAGCAGGCCCGCGGGCATACCTGGATGACGTTGCCGTACTGGATCACGGTCCCCAGCAGCTTCCGGTTCTCCGTCTCGTTCTGCTTCTTTTCCAAGTCTGCGGCGTGCTGCGGGAGAGGGACAGCGGTCAGGGAGGGCGCGGCGGCCACACTTCCCTGCCACACCGCAGGGCCAGGAAAGGCGCGGCCACGAAGCCGTCTCTGAGGCCACGCGGGGCGGGTGGGAGCCCAGGGCAGGGCCTCCGCGCGGGTGGCCCGACGGCTTTTTAAAGATCATTTGTTTATTTTATGAAATTCATGGACATGTGCTTAGGGCGAGGCTTGATCAGAAGTATATACTTTTCAAGAAAACGGGGTAGGGGTGAGAGGGGATTTGCTGAGCCCACCTCTAATCGATAAAAGTTTTATCTTTTAAGGCTTTGGAGTCAAGTAAAACTGGATTTCAATGCCGGGCTGGGCGGTGCTTCTGGCTGTGTGACCTGGAATGTGTCATTAGTACCTGTGAGCCTCAGTTTCCTCTTTTGCAATGTGAGGATGAAAGTACCTCCCAGCCCTGGGCTGGTCCTGGTGGCATCTGGGGGGGCTGTCATTGTTAGCTCTGATTGTAATTTAGTTTTTATGGCTGTTCCTTGCCAGGAAGGACATCACCCCAATCTTGAAGAAGAAGAAATAAACCAGCGAGTCTGGTGGAGGTTGCGCAGGCAGTGGGGTACAGGGTGAGAGGGGCTGTCACCGTTTCCTCTACTTCTAGGGACACCTGGGGTTTCGCTTACCAATGTCGTTTTTACAGACTACACTTTATTAAGGCACAGAGATGATCCCCAAACCCACATCTGGGCTAACCCCAGCTCTGCGCAGTTACGAAGGAGGCCGGGCAGCGCTCCTCATCCAAGATTGGCGGGCGAGGGGGGAAAGCTGCACAGCGGGTTCCAGGGTAGCCAGCCTGGCTGCACCCCACCCTCCACGTTCACCCCAACCTTGTGACTCGGCTACTCTACTCCAGTTGTAACAGAGCTTACAGCAGGGGCCTGGCTTCCCCAGCCAGTCTGTGAATTGCCCTTTCAACCTGTGTCCCCAACCTGGGGCTGGGGTACGGGGCCCTGACCAGTCATTTCTCCTCCCAGAGGCCAGATGCCGGTCCCATTTCCAGGACCTGCCCATCCCAGTCCTGCTCCCCCCACACCAGCTGCAGCCCTGGGCCAGGCGGCTCCATCCCTGCTCCAAAATACAGCCCCACTCAGGAGACGCCTGCACATCGGGGACGAGGCATCCTCCCGGGGCTGATGCGCAGAGCAGAGCCGCGTGCACGTCCATGGAGCATTCCAGCCTCGTGCCTGTGACCTGCTGCCAACACAAGGGCCATCCTGCTGCTGAGACTGTCTGAGGGTCACCAAGTTGGCTGGTGGACAACCTTCCCGTTTCCTTCCATCTCAGCACCCCTTGGCCCTGCCAGAGCACAGGCATCGCTAGGAAGGCGCATCTTCTGAGGAAAACGAGCTGCAAGAAGCGATCCCGCACCCACGAGACCCACGTGGCAGGAGGGGAGGCTCCTGTCCTAACAGGCAGTTTCAGCTTCATGGCATCAGCCTTGTCCTTCCAGAACCAGGGTGGACTCAGAGGCCTCCTGCTCTCACTTTTGGGCTCAGTTCCCAGTTGCTCTTCTTAGGGACAAAAGACAAACCCCCAGTTCCGTGGCGCCTTCACGAGTATCAGCAGGCAGAAGCCGGCCAGCCTCTGCCCTGCCCCCTTCAGAAGGCCCAACTCTTCTCACCTTACCCCCCCGTTTTCATGCCGATGCCCCCCCTCCAGAGGGCTCTGCAGCACCCATGGGTTTTCTAAACAAGACCCGGGGCAGGATCCATGTGGAAGGCAAGCGAGACCTGGGGAGAGGCGTTTGTTCTTGCTAAGCAGCTCTCGGCTAATTTGGACGGGAAGTACAAGAAAGAGAAAAATGCCAGAGGGCGAAAATCAATGGGTTCAGTAAAATAAACATTCTCCAACAAGGAAGTGTGCAAATGTGGCTGTTCTCTGCTCAAAACACACACGGACAGGATTCACGTCAGAGACCCACACAGCGGGGCTCCCGGGCCTCCACACGGCACTGGGCGCGGAGAGAGGGCTCCCGTGGACATTCCTCTCATCTGAAGCACTTCCTGTGGCCTCAGTTAAGAAACACGCATCTGAAACATGAAGGTATTTCCTCCCCTTGCTCTCAGGGCGCCGGCTGGCCCAGCAACCCGCTCCGGGCGCGTCTCCTCGGGAGAGAGCCGGCACATGCACAGCCCACGCGACTTTCCCCACAACAGAGGAAGCTGTCAGGACCCTGAAGGCTGCTGCCCACGCGGGCCTGGGCAGGGAAGTCACAGCGCCGACCGCCGACAACGGGGAGCCGGGAGCCTGAGCAAGAGCGAGCAAGAACAAGTCTGCTTGTGAGACCAGATGGGAGAAGAGGCGGTTAGAGACTGAGAAGACTTAATTCATAAATTGAGATGACTGGGCCTCCCTGGTGGCGCAAGGGTTCAAGTCTCAGCGCTATTAAACTATCTCAGCCACCGCAGCATGAGTTTGATCCCCGGCCAGGGAGCTACCCACAGGGCACAGCAGACTCGCCTGTCTCCCCGCTGCTCCCCTCAGCAGTGTGTTTCAGTGGATCCTCCTGTTCTGCTCCCCGCTCTGTCTCTAGGGAGTCCTCTAACTGCCCCCCACCCCGCAGCTCTGGCCTACACCCTAGTTCTTGAGTGCATAAATAAATCTTTTTAAAAGTTAATAATTTAAGATGATTTAGGACACAGCGCGGAGGCCTGGGGGAGGGGCTGGGTGCACCCCACACACCAGCCAAGGCCTTCACCCTTAGCTTTCCTTCCTTGGTCCATCTGGAACTCTTTTCCTAAAGACTCAGGGACGCTGAGTCTCGCCTCCTGCTGCCTCTCCTTCATGCGAGGGCTGCTCTGGACACCCACGTAACCAGACTCACTTGGGCCCTGGGGACACCTGTCGGCCCAGGCCGGCCCCCTGCTCTTTGATTTCAGAAATACAAAAGCCCCAGGAGATGGCCACAGCAAGGCCCCCGGGACAGCAGCAGGGCTGCCCGCTCTGCACTGGGCCGTGGGGCTGTCACACTGGACAGGCCAGGCGGTCCTGGGCTCTCCGGGCTGCTGGGTGCCCTGCAGGCCTGACAACACAGGGGCCACCCCAAGGGAAGAGCACAATGCTGTCCTGCCGGGAAGAGCTGCCAGGCCTGGGGCAGGAGGTACCCCGGTAATTCCTGCAGCAGAAGTGAACACAGGGCCACCAGCCACTAGATGTCATGCTCCGTCAGAGCTGCCAGCAGGTCGCTTCTCCCAGTCAAAAGGAAGTCAAGTGGTCTAGACAACCAATTCCTTAAATGGCATTAATTTAAAATACTCTGACCTTTGATTAGGCTGCTTCACAGGAGTTGACAAAAATAAAAATGGAAACCCACTGGAGACTGGCCGCTGGCCCCCAAAGGCAAGTGACAGCCCAAAATACATCACTCCAGTGCAGCCGGCAGCGAGAGGCTGGGGCGTGCGGGGCAGGCCCAGCGGCGCAGGAAGGGGACCCACATAGACCATGGCCCTCTCGGGGACACTCGGCCTCCTCTGAGCTTTCTGAGAGGCCTGGGAGAGAGCCCACTGTTCTCTCGTCAACAAGGAGCTCCGGCCCCTCACCGGCAGGATGGGTCTTTCCAACTGCGCAGCTTTCACGGGTGGCTCGCCAAGGGGCATCGGAGGACCCGCTGTCCAAATGAGGCACAGGGGCTGTGCCCCGGGCTGAGTGGCAGCTCAGGCTTCATGGGAGGGTCCTACAGAAAAACTCAGCTTCTCAGCTCCTCTCAATAAACCCAAGGCTTGCAGCCCACGTCCCCAAGCGGCAGGATGCAGGCCACGGCCTGCGTGAGGACACGCCGGGACTTGCAGCCCAGCCCGCCAAGCCCTTCCTCCCAGCCAGCTCCCTGCCCGGCCAGCAGAGCCTCAGTTTACACTCCTGCTGACGGAGCTGTAGGGGAAATGAGGGCTTGAGAGTCCCCAAGAAGATCTCATTAAACAAGGAGTTTCATACCAGAAAAGGCAAGGCAGGCTCTCCCCACAGACACCGTCACCCTGGCTCACCCCACAGGCACCATCCTCCCCCGGCTCACCCCACAGGCACACACAATGGACAGTCTTCCCAGGAGGCTTCCCATCCCCTTCAGATGGGCCCTGTGCTCCCGACACGGACCACAGGGGACCCCGGACATGACAGCAGTGGAGGGAGGGGCTCCGAAGCTCAGGGGACGGGCCTGTCCCATGCACGGTCAGTGGGCTGGATGGTCACTGGGCTAAAGCAGAGGCCACAACTGGAGCCCCGCCCCGACTCCCCTTCACCCCAGCCACCCAGAGGGGTCCCGGCTGCTGCACCACGCAAGCACATCTTCCGGAGTGCAAGGGCGATTCGTGAGGGAGAGGACACATCGCACTCTGCATGACACCATCAGGACCCCCAGGCATTTTGGAAAGTAACATTGGGAAAGTGGGCCTCTGGGCTGTGAGGGCTGCACCCCTGTACCCGTGGGGCGCGAGGCCGGCTGTCAGGGCGCAGCACAGACCTTGGGGCTTCAGCGTCTCCGGCCCTTGGCAGTGGGGCCTGCTCTCTGCTGACTCACACAAGCTACCGTGACACCTGCCACTTTCCTCCTGTGTCTCCCTCACGACTGTTTTTCCATCTGGTCCCTATTCAGCTATTCTGTGTGTCACCTCCTGCTGGCCAGGGTCAGCACATCCACTGCCAAGGGGGCGCTGGCCTGCTGAGGTGAGAATGTCTGCCTGGAAGCCCTGAAATAACACTGCGGTCCCCAAAGTCCTGAACCAGAGGCTCAGGTGCGGCTGTGGTCACACAGCACATCAGAACAGTGACAGTCACGACGTGAGCCAAGAGCTGAGACGCACGGGGCACGCCCACGTGCAAGGCCCTGTCCCTGTGTCCTCTGCATCCCGTCACACCTTCACTGCACCCCGTCAGTGGACAGCACCGCCACCCCCCTTACCAGACAGGGAAGAAGGTCAACATCACCGAGTCATTGGCCTGAGCAGGGGCGGGGAGGCCGGACTGGTTGGTCACCAGCCGTGCCCAAACACCCCGGGAAGGGGACATCTCAGGGCGTATGACAGCCAGTCCCCAAGCCGGAGGGCACAAGCCTAGGCCCCACCACTGCCGGCCAGGCCTGGCTGGCCCCGTGCCTGCCCCCGACAGCCATCCCTACTCACATGCAACTTGTTGAGCAGCACTGCATCGGTGGTGCTGTTGGCCCCGGGCTTCGCCGCCTTCCAGAACTGCTTCTGTGCAGAGTAGCGGTTCATGGGACACAGCTTAAAGAGGCAATCTGGAAGAAACACACAGATGGCTGTCAGCGAGGAAGCATGTGCCCACTGCCTCCCTGGGACAAAGTGCTCCCCTCAGGCACCAGCAGAAGTGACAGGTTACAGGCCCTTTGCACAGCTCCCTACTGGCCCACCTTGCAGCCTATGCAGCCCACGCCCAGACCGGTGCTGGCCACCCGGCCGCACCCAAGTCATCCGGGAAGGGGACACCTCAGGGTGACCACAGCCCTCTGGCCATTCCCACACAGCCATTCTGAGTGGCGAGGGCCCAGGGTCCAGATGAGGGCTCCTGATGCAGCCTGAGCCACCTCCTGTCCTAGTGATGGGAATGCAGGGACCAGTGTCCTCACTGTGTGCAACAATCATCCCAGCGCCTTCATGGAAACCCCACACACGTCAATCCACTTAGCATCACTCAGGAAGCTGATCTGGAGGCGCCTCCCGGGCAGCGTCTGGAGAGCTGAGTACAGCAGCCCCCTCTGGAAAGACGGTGCAAGCCTGGCCCCACACTGAGCCCGTCTGACCCTTGTCCCTCCTCCAGGGCCACCATCCAGGGCACACAGGCTCTACAACTTTAGACACTGCCTGCAGGGCACTAACCCTGGCAGGGGGGTTAATGACATCAGATGGTTTCTGCAAAAAAATCGAAACATTGCACATGGCAGCCACGCAAACCCAGCCCATAAATGACCCTGCTCTTACTCCTCTTGTCAGTCACAATAGGGGGAAATATGAATGAATCAGACCTGAAAGTGTTACCACATATAAAGAAGAGTACGCAAACCACTTAAAATGCTGTCTTTCAAGTGGATCAAGATGTGGTGTATATACACACAATGGAAAACCACTCAGCCATCAAAAATGATAAACTCATGCCATTTGCAGAAACATGGACGGAGCTGGAAGGGATCATGCTCAGCGAAATAAGCCGGATGGAGAAGGATAAATATCAGATGGTGTCACGCCTATGTGGAATACAGAAAAACCAAAGGGTCAAAGACAAAATTGAAAACCAACCTTTGCAAACTGACCACTGATCTTGGGCTTTCAGAGGGAGCGGGGAGGCAAGTGGGGTGAAAATGTTGGGGTTGTGAGGGGAGAGGTAAGGCCTGTGGGTGCTGGGGGGGGCAGGCTACAGTGACTATGCCGAGAGGGGATTCTTATACTGTCGAAACACTAGCAAGGATGGAAAACAATGGTGCCTCCATAACAGGAATAAAATATTGTCCCCCATGATATGCGTGGCCCAAAAGCACCTACGTCCCCAAAGGTATTGCTGATGAGACTGTAATCACAATTAAAAGGATACCGCATAATCACTCATCTTTTTCATTAACCTCTATTCTCCTTGTTTCTGTAAAGCTGACAGTTTATTAGTAACACATTTATAAAATGCTTAAATACATGTGTTGCTTAAATACACCCACACCCACGGGTTATATCTATATCATCAAAAAATTTTTTGTAAAGGACATGCCATCAAAAAAGTTTAGAAATAACTGCTGTAAAACAGGAATTCTAGGGCTTCCCCGGTGGCGCAGCGGTTGAGCGCTGGGTTGCGAAGCTGCCCGCAGCCTCTGCAGCGCCGGTTCAATCCCAGCCGCCGGGCAAAGTTCCCACATGGCGCGCAGACCTCTCCTGCCGCCCGCTGCTCCCCTCAGCAGTGTGCTTCGGTCCCTCTGCCTGCTCTGCTCCCCGCTCTGGCTCTGGTGAATTCTCTTACCCTCCCGCGCTTCTGACTGTACCCAGGGCTTGTATAAATAAATAAATAAATCTTTAAAAAAAAAAAAAGATTTATTTAAAAAAATAAAATAAAACAGGAATTCTAAAGATGATGCTCTCTGGAAAATTTACTTTTGACATACTAAGTTCTCAAGTGGTATTTATAAAAATAAAGTTGGAATGAATATGCATAGTTGGGAAAATGGGTACCCTGAAAACAGACCAGGCTTCTAGGAATACTCGATCTACTAACTGTGCATTAAGGCAGGTGCCCTTACAGCGCCTCGAACAGGTAAAAACCTGGTGACTATCTTCGCCAAGTAACTATCTCAAAGTAAGAAAAACTCATTTATTGTCAGTACAGAAACACTAGGATTTCCCCCTAATTCAGACTTGAAGTTGTTCAGGGAAAAAAAAAGATGGTTTATCTGCAGGAATAAAAGGCACTTTCCCCGCTCCTATCCTCTCCTTCACCACACAGCTGACCTAGTCCCAAGCAGTTCTAAGACACGCCCATGGTGGCTGATGCCCCTCTCGACAGGACCAGCCCCACCCGGACAGCAGGCCACACACCAGAGACACCATCAAGGGCTCCAGGGAACAACAGTCATGGCAGGAAGCAGGTTTAAAAGCAGGGAGGCCTCCCCACCTCCAAACAAGCCCACAGTCACTGTCTTTTGCTGTATCCTCGGAGACGTCGTGATGCGCGGCAGAGACCAGGGTCTTCTCCCCGGCGGATGTAGGCAGCGTCTCCACCGCCAGGTGAGGCACACACACAGAGCCCAGAGGCGCGGTCTACACTGCCGCTCTGTCTTTGGCACAGAGCAGGGGGCGGCACCTGGGCTGGGCCGGGGCGCCGTCCCTGAAGATCACACAACGTAAAGCAAAAGCTGGCGTTCCCGATACTGACATCACTGGCGTTAATATTTGATATGTGAGTTACTCTCAGAATCACATGGGGTTAACGATTTCAAATTTCATCAAAAAGACATTGAGAAGGAAAGGATGTAAAACGCACGTCCCCCGACAGACTTCACGGGATGATGGATAAAGAACGTGCACTGCAAAGTTTTCCAGATTTCGGTTGATTCTGGGAAAATTGGGCTGGATCCCCGATGCCACGTGCCCCCCACAAGGCACAGCGCGTCCTGCAACTGCTCCGGACAGGGAGGGCAGCGCCCCCCACAGACCAGGGGCCGCACCCCAGGGTCACACCTCGGCTTCGCGTCCCGGAGAGTGTGGCTCAGCAGCGGGTGCAGCCAAAGCGGAGCTGTCAGGGCCACACCAACTATTTCCGGGGCAGAGCGGGGATCTGCATGGGATTATGTGTCTTCACCTCGGCCGTCTATGTAAACAGAAGCCATGCTCACGCGCTAGTAACAGAAGTGAATTAGCCTTGCTGATTCTGTCCTGCCTTCTGGTTGCTTAGCAACTGATTCCAAGTCAAAATCAAATTAAGCAATTCAAATGGGATGTTACAGTAGCCTTCCCAAATTCTTCACTTTGCTGGCTCCATGTTGTCCTTCGCTATCTGGACTGTACCGCTGGGCAAAATTAAAGTTCCGCTGGATGCGAATACTGTGCCAAGGATAGAAACCCGCAAATACAGGAAATCCAGTAGCAGAATATACATAAAACCTACTTGGGGGAAGTGAGTGTGTGTATACACACACACACACAAACACACCCCACACTGTGGCTCAAGCTCACCCCAAAGAAATGCCATGCGCGTATCTTGTGTGACGAGTGTTATTTTATTTTAGGCCTTTGCAGAATAAACTAAAGTTTTCCAAAAATTCTCTTTGGAATAGTCCTAAACTTTCACACATGCCACGCTGGACTAGCAGCAGAGGCGCAGTCGGCTGAACCGGGGCCTGACTAAGAGCTCAAGGGCTGGGGGGCTGTAGCGAGCGCCTCCCCTCAGTGGGCGCTGCTCAAAAATGGCCTCCAGAACCTGGCCAGGGAGCGCGTGGCTGGCTCAGGAGGGACAGCAGCGCAGTTGAGGAGACAGGAGCACAAAGGGCCTCCAGCGAGCCTGCAGCCCCCACAATGGGGCCCCAGGAGAGTGAGACAGCAAAGCAGCCTAATCCACAGGGAGTCCTGTCAGGGGCTCAGTCTGCGAACACAGGCTGCCGTGACACAGCTGAACCCCACTTCTCCCATGGTCCCCCAAGCCCGCGGCAGGCCTTGCCTGCTTTGCACACTTGGGTAACCGCCGGCTGCAGGGAGCGTGGGCTTCCTCGTGGCTGTGGAGTGGACAGCTCCCCTCGGCTCCGGAGGCCACGGCAGGCACGTCCTCTGAGGTCGCTGCCAGCTCTACGCATCTGTGGCCAAATTCAACACCGAGGACTAGAGGCGGGCACAGCAGGGGCACAGCAGGGGACACTCGGGCTGCTGGTCACGCACAGCGGCGGATTCATGCAGAAGTAGCGGGATGCGTGCGCCCACGGCCTTTGGGCTGAGACCCCGCTCATCTCTAAGGACACGGTCTTTTTGGCAACGGTGCCCACGAAGGAAGGGCAGGCCGGAGAGGGCAGAGTGGGGACAGGAGAGGAAATCCAGAGTTCCCATTTGCTCGTGCTTCGTCGGGGCTTCCTGGGACACAGTCCGGGTGAAACGCCGAGAAGGCGGCCCACGCACGGCAGGTGGGAGGCGGACAGCCCACTACTGACGGTGACACGGCAGGAGGGCAGGGGACAGCGGGCGCTGCGAGGATGGAGAGCTGAGGAATTTGAGTTACAGTCGATGCAGCCCCCGACCCTGAGCAGGGAGCACTCGGCAATCCAGAAACTACGTTCCCAGGTTAACAGAAGCTTGACCTGGAGTCCACTGAGCAGAATAAGGACCCTCTTCTCCACCCCAAAAAAAATCCCACATGAGGAAAACTGAAAACAAAAAGCCCAACTTCAGCATCAATGAAACTCAGCCCTGGCCACAGTGAGGGAGGCAGGAGGAGTTTGCAGGGTGGTGCATGGCGGGTGGGGTGAGCCCACAGGGTGCAGCGAGAGGCCCACCCGCCCGCCCAGGGGGTTCCCTAAGGGCTCAGCAGCCCTGGCTGGGGGGCAGCACAGCACCCGCACATGCTGAGGCTTCAGAGGGGGCGAGGGCAGAGGACGGCACAGCAGAGCTATGCAAATAAAGAAAAACAGACCGCTAATGCCAGGGGAAGTTGCATATTAAAATCCAGAGTGTCAATATTTACACAGTTATAAGAATCTGAGCCTGAGTATTAGTCTGGCTGAAAATAAGGTGGGGGGACAGGTTACAAGGCCAATGGGGT